CAAAACCTCTGGGACACAGCAAAGGTGGTCATAAGAGGAAAGTATATAGCAATCCAGGCCTTCCTAAAGAAGGAAGAAAGATCTCAGATACTCAACCTAACTTTACACCTTAAGAAGCTGGAAAAAGAACAGCAAATAAAACCCAAAACCAGCAAAAGACAGGAAATAATAAAGATTAGAGCAGAAATTAATCCTATCGAAACAAAACAAAACAAACAAAAAACAGTAGAACAGATCAAAGAAACCAGAAGCTGGTTCTTTGAAAGAATTAACAAAATTGATAAACCCCTAGCCAGTTTGATCAAAAAGAAAAAGGAAAGGACCCAAATAAATAAAATCAAGAGTGAAAGAGGAGAGATCACAACCAACACAGCAGAAATAAAAACAATAAGAAGAGAATATTATGAGCAATTATATGCTGATAATATGGGCAATCTGGAAGAAATGGACAAATTCCTAGAAACATATCCCCTACCAAAACTGAAACAGGAAGAAAAAGAAAATTTGAACAGACCCATAACCAGTAAAGAAATCAAATTAGTAATCAAAAATCTGCCAAAAAACAAGAGTCCAGGGCCACACGGCTTTCCAGGGGAATTCTACCAAACATTTAAGGAAGAGTTAAAACCTATTCTCTTGAAGCTGTTCCAAAAAATAGAAACGGAAGGAAAACTTCCAAACTCTTTCTATGAAGCTTGCATTACCTTGATTTCAAAACCAGACAGAGACCCCACTAAAAAGGAGAACTATAGACCAATTTCCCTGATGAACATGGATGCAAAAATCCTCAACAAGATATTAGCCAACTGGTTCCAACAATACGTTAAAAAAATTATTCACCACGACCAAGTGGGATTTATACCTGGGATGCAGGGCTGGTTCAATATCTGCAAAACAATTAACGCGATTCATCACATCAGTAAGAGAAAGGACAAGAACCTTATGATCCTCTCAATAGATGCAGAGAAAGCATTTGACAAAGTACAGCATCCTTTCTTGATAAAAACCTTCAAGAAAGTTGGGATAGAAGGAGCATACTTCGAGATCATACAAGCCATATATGAATGACCCAGTGCTAATGTCATCCTCAATGGGCAAAAACTGAGAGCTTTCCCCCTAAGGTCAGGTACAAGACAGGGATGTCCACTCTTGCCACTGTTATTCAACATAGTATTGGAAGTCTTAGCCTCTGCAATCAGGCAACACAAAGAAATAAAAGGCATCCAAATTGGCCAGGAGGAGGTCAAACTTTCACTCTTCACAGAACACATGATACTCTATATGGAAAACCCAAATATGCCACCAAAAAACTGCGAGAATTGATTCATGAATTCAGCAAAGTTGCAGGATATAAAATCAACGCACAGAAATCGGTTGCATTCCTATACACCAACAATGAAGTGACAGAAAGAGAAATCAAGGAATTGATCCCATTTACAGTTGCACAAAAAACCATAAAATACCTAGGAATAAATCTAACCAAAGAGGTGAAAAATCTATACACTGAAAACTATAGAAAGCTTATGAAAGAAATTGAAGAAGATACAAAAAAAAATGGAAAAGATTCCACGCTCCTGGATAGGAAGAACAAATATTATTAAAATGTTGATACTACCAAAGCAATCTACATATCCAATGCACTCCCTATCAAAATAACACCAGCATTCTTCACAGAGCTAGAACAAATAATCCTAAAATTTGTATGGAACCAGAAAAGACCCCGAATAGCCAAAGCAATCTTGAAAAAGAAAACCAAAGCAAGAGGCATCACAATCCCAGACTTCAAGCTATACTACAAAGCTGTAACCATCAAGACAGTATGGTACTGGCACAAGAACAGACACTGAGATCAATGGAACAGAATAGAGAACCCAGAAATGGACCCACAAACGTATGGCCAACTAATCTTTGACAAAGCAGGAAAGAATATCTAACGGAATAAAGGCAGTCTCTTCAGCAAGCGGTGCTGGGAAAACTGGACAGCGACATGCAGAAGAATGAACCTGGACCACTTTCTTACACCAGACACAAAAATAAACTCAAAATGGATGAAAGACCTCAATGTAAGACAGGAAGCCATCAAAATCCTCGAGGAGAAAGCAGGCAAAGACCTCTTTGATCTTGGCCGCAGCAACTTCTTACTCAACACATCTCCGGAGGCAAGGGAAACAAAAACAAAAATGAACTACTGGGACCTCATCAAAATAAAAAGCTTCTGCACAGTGAAGGAGAGAATCAGCAAAACTAAAAGGCAACCAGCAGAATGGGAGAAGATATTTGCAAATGACATATCAGATAAAGGGTTAGTATCCAAAATCTATAAAGAACTTATCAAACTCAGCACCCAAAAAACAAATAATCCAGTGAAGAAATGGGCAAAAGACATGAATAGACACTTCTCCAAAGAAGACATCCAGATGGCCAACTGACACATGAAAAAATGCTCAGCATTACACATCATCAGGGAAATACAAATCAAAACCACAATGAGATACCACCTTACACCTGTCAGAATGGCTAACATTAACAACTCAGGCACAACAGATGTTGGCGAGGATGCAGAGAAAGAGGATCTCTTTTGCACTGTTGGTGGGAATGCAAACTGATGCAGCCACTCTGGAAAACAGTATGGAGGTTCCTCAAAAAAAACTAAAAATAGAACTACCCTACAACCCAGCAATTGCACCACTAGGCATTTATCCACGGGATACAGGTGTGCTGTTTCAAAGAGACACATGCACCCCCATGTTCATAGCAGCACTATCAACAATAGCCAAAGTATGGAAAGAGCCCACATGTCCATCAATGGATGAATGGATAAAGAAGATGTGATATATATATACAATGGAGTATTACTCGGCAATCAAAAAGAATGAAATCTTGCCATTTGCAACTATGTGGATGGAACTGGAGGGTATTATGCTAAGTGAAATTAGTCAGAGAAAAACAAAAATCATATGACTTCACTCATATGAGGACTTTAAGAGACAAAACAGATGAACCTAAGGGAAGGGAAACAAAAATAAAAACGGAGGGGGACAAAACAGAAGAGACTCATAAATACAGAGAACAAACTGAGGGTTACTGGAGGGGTTGTGGGAGGGGGTTGGGCTAAATGGGGAAGGGGTACTAAGGAATCTACTCCTGAAATCATTGTTGCACTATATGCCAACTAATTTGGATATAAATTTTAAAAATTAAAAAAATAAAATTAAAAAAATAAAAAAATAAAAATAAAATAACAAAAAATTTTTAAATACAGAAAACTTAGGTTACTCTCACACTTGTTAACATAAAGAATTATACTCACACTTGTTACCATAAAGAAGTAGTGACATAGCTTTAGAATTTTTTTAATGTTTAATTTTGAGAGAGAGAGAGACAGAGTACGAGCAAGGAAAGGGCAGAGAGAGAGGGAGACACAGAATCCAAAGAAGGCTCCAGGCTCTGATTGTCAGCACAGAGCCCGGTGCAGGGCTTGAACTCATACCGTGATATCGTGACCTGAGCCAAAGTTGGATGCTTAACCGACTGAGCCCCCAGGTACCCCAAGTGATGTAGCTTTAGAATGTGGGGTTGGCTTAGAAAGTAAGAACCCTTAATATTTTCCATGTTATCAAAATATATGTATTCTAAAATTTATTATGTCGCACTGACCAAGGAGGTCTTTTATAATGGGGCAAAGCCAGATTTTAACTTGAAAGTATAATATAACAACAACCCAAACCACGTATTTGTATGATATTTTTATGTTACAAAGTGCTTTCAATATATGATTTCTCTTATCATCAGAACATTTCTGTAAGGTAGACAGGTATTATCTTCATTTAATTTTTTAAAGAGTTTATTTTTTTATTTATTTCTTTTGAGAGAGAGAAAGAGAGCACATGGGCAGGGGAGGGGCAGAGAGAGAGAAGAGAGAGAATCCAAAGTAGGCTCCATGCTGTCAGCCCAGAGCCCAACCTAGGGCTTGATCTCACAAACTGTGAGATCATGACCTGAGCTGAAATGAAGAGTCCAACTCTTAATCAACTGAGCCACCCAGGTGCCCCACCTTCATTGTAAGGATAGAAAACTTGAACAAATGAAGTTAAGTGACATTATAAAGACTTACAGAAAACTAGCTATAGAACTGAATCTCTCAGCCCATGATGGTTCTCTCCTGACAAGGAGACAGCATGGCGTGTGACATTAAAGCACAGACTCAAATAAATTAAATCTGCAAATGGCACCTCCATAAACAGGATGAGAAGGAAATTACCTCTGTGTGGCACAGAAGAGGAAGGCAAGAATGAACATAGCAGGAAAGTATATTTTTGAAAAAGTGTGTGGACCTCAGCGTACCTTATTCATCATGACACTAGTGGCATGTTGGGTAAATCATTCAGCAAAATGAGATAGATCAGCTTGACCTGTGTTGTTTCACTTAGAAACGCATTGCTCTGTAATATTTTCATGTCCTACATACATTTGTCTCCTCCACTAGAGTGGAAACTTCATGAAGTTCAGAGGCTAAGACATAATAAGGGTTCTTAAGCACTCTCTACCCAGAAGAAATTAATTGAATGTTCTGATTGGTTAATGGGCAACATATATATTGGTTACAGTGGAGCATAATGGTCACGAACAGGGGTTCAAGTCCATAGTTCTGTATCTGAAGCCACGTTCTGTCATGACTAGCTGTGCCACTTGTGGGCAAGTTACTCTACCTCGGTGAGTCACATTGCCATCTGTAATAAGGGTGACAGTGACACAACTTAACCGTAAGTTTGTAGTGAGGATTAAATTAAGTTAATACTTGTAAATAAAAACCAACGGGATGCTGGGTACCTAACATACACTCAATCAATGTTTCACTGCTGCAATATACTGAGGTTTCAAGTTCAGGGACGTGCTGGAGGTACATGCCAGTCTCCATCGATTTGAAGAAAGAACGTTGGGTTGGTTCTCAAAAACAAAGTTAGATGCCGAGGGAAAATTTTTACAATTCACCCAAAATGTATTTTTAAAACAAACTTTTAATTTATGCCATTCCACATGCCATTTGGAATGTAGCAACAGAACAAAGAACAAAAGGCACGGATGCTGTGTGTCTTACCAGCGATACAAACGATTACAAACACAATCAGCCTGCAGACACAAGCTAACAGGGAAAACCGTGTGACATGTCAAGCTTTACAGAGGAGTGAACAAGACCTAAGATTTGGCTGGTCACAAAGGAGACATTCAAAAGAAGGAATATGTGCAATACTTTTTTGAGTAATTCTCCTTGTTCCTAGAAAGAAACAAATATGTCACAAATGTATTATCTTATCAAAGCCCAGCCCCTTATTTTCCAGTGTGTGTGTGTTCTTAGCTCACGTTTCAACATACATCTTCAGACCCTAATTGCTCCCCTGCATCCCCCAAAGAAATGCAACGGTAGAAGTACCTTAAAATGAGAAAGAGAAAAACAGAATGCTCATATCTGAAAAGGGAAACGACACATACTGAATGATCTCTATCATACTTAGGGTGATATTTATGAGAGAAAACCAGAGCCAAGTGAGTGAAACGTTTTCTACCCAAGAGCAGCAGAAAAATGAACAATCACAGAGCAATTTGTCGCACAACAATTTGGAAGAGAACTTGATGCCAACATAAGAGAATAAACTACTCCACTGACACTTCTTCTTTTGTGTCTTTAGGATTTATAGGATCAAATTCATGCAACCTGAACATTTTTGTGAAATAACACTTTGAACCCTGAATTTTCAGTTCTGGGGCGCAAGCAGAGGAATGCCAGCCAAGCTTCTCTCACACAACCTGAGGGACCAGCTCTTTAAAGTCACAGATGTTGACTCAGAGAACATCCTCCGTTTCTCCTCTGCTTCCTTCAGGGTCTGGGTTGAATTCCAACCGCCTGGGAGACTCCGCCATTGGAATCTCATCTCCTCGCCTGGCGTTACCTTCCTTGGTCTCCTCGTGGATCAAGTGTGGCAGGCAGTCCTGCTCCGAGTTACTCCAGACATAGCCGGGTAACGTCATGTGGCTGTCGGGCTGGTGGCCGGCTGTCTTGGTGGCTTTGCCAGAGATGAGCACCATGCGAGCGCTGGCAGCCACCTGCGACTGGCTGCTGGTGCTGTGGGTCAAGGTGGTGAGCACGGAGCCGTATCGGTGGCCGCCGCATGGGGGCGTCCTTTTCCAGTCGATGGAGAGATTCCACCGGCCCCACAACTTCTTCACCTCGGACTGAACCTGTCACAGGAAATATTGTGCGTCAGAAACCATCAGGGAGCCTGAAGCCTTGTTAGACGGATATTTGCCCTTCAGTGATAGTAATCGCCGAGTTTCCACGGTGTGCCAGGGAATGATGTACATATTCTCCCTCAACCTCAGAAAACCTCTACATGTTATTACTGGCTCCGAGAGAGGTAAAGGGTCTTGTCCAAGATCAGTATTTTAATATAAGCTGACATGCAGCCCATAGAAACATCTGACTTGTGGGAGAGGGAACAGAGGATTCTGGGTGGAAGGGGGGGGGGGGGAAAATAGTGCCAGCTGTGCCCGAGGAATGGCATGGAAGGTACTCAACTTGAAATGTAATACTGTGACTTTGCACAGGCATACTGAGGGAGGAAAAAATGGGAAAGAAGCCCGTACCACGAAAAACAGGCACTGCAAATGACTTCTTAATAGGGTGGGGCTCTTGCTCCCAATCTTGTGGTTGAGGTTTCAGTTCTCCTGCTATTACCATTTACCAGAAGAGAGCTTAGTTGGAATTTCCATGGAAAGCAGTGGAAACCTGGTAAGCTGATAACAGCATGGCTAATGCTCTCCAGCCAACCCCTCAATGAACTAAAAGTGTCCCGTCACCATCGTGTGGTTTTTAAAATATCAAAATATTCTCATGGACTTGTCCCAAGAAAACTTATTTTTTAGCTTCTTATAGGACTCGAAATTGAATGTAAGTTTATGTATTAACTGGAATATGAAATTCACTGTCCTTCCAAGTGTCAATTTACATTCCAACGAGTTGCATGGTGTTTGGGTTTTTGTTTTTGTTTCTGATATCAGGGTTTGCAACTGAATTAACATTGAAAAGTGCTAGAAGAGGAAGACTTTAGCTTATTTCCATTCATTCTTGCTTTCTCAAAATAGTTTATGATCGAAATATCCCCTTTCTCCCTGCTCATTTTTTCCTGTCACTCCTGGGGATCCTGAAGAGATTCAGGCCACACTGTGATGGCCATTTACAAGCTGACTCGGACCTACACCTGTGGGGTGTCCGGGGCTCTATCAAACCTACCTCCCCGTTGCAGTAGCAGTAGATGATAGACACAAAGAAACCCTGGGGAACAAAACAGAACGTTAGCATGCTGACAATTCATGACGATCACAGCACTGACGTGTCTTGTGTCAAAATATATAAATTGAAAAACTGGGTGGTGGTATGATTCCTTCAGAAAATTATACGAACTACTCTCTCCTGATGTTTCCAAATCTTTAAGTTTATGTTATATTTGTCTGAGATCCTTCCTTGGTGTCAGCTGAACCAAACAAGTAACTGAATAAAACACTGTAAGATCCATAAAGAATTGATTCCCATTTTATTAGCTTCATGTATGTTGTCACTCAAGGATCACAGAATAGCACCTGGTGAGTACTAGGTATTTATACATTGTGAATGCTGGAAACTACAGACATAGGCTATCATATGGCAAAAAGACAAAGAAACTTCTGTGTCACTCATTCAAAAGTATTTATTGAGCCTCTACAGTGCAAACTGTTCAGCATGCCAGGGGTGAACAATTTATTCAAGACAGACAGGGTCCCTCTTCCCTTAGAGCTTACATTCTAGAAGGAAATACAGATGGATAAAACATAAACACCTAGCCATGCTGGAAAATTGTAAGATAATAAGGGCTATGCAGACAAAATGTGAAAGAGAGGAATGGAGAAGGTATATTGAATGGGTAACTCAATGAAGAGCGCTTTGAAGAGACAGCATTTAAGCTGGTTTGAGCGACAAGAAGAAGCCAGGCCTTGTGAATATTGGGGATGCTGTGGGGAGAGCCCTCCAGACAAAGGCAACGGCAAGTATGAGCCCCTGAGATAGGAATGAGTTTGAGGAACAGAGAGTGTGGAAGCAGGAGCGTGACTCAAACTCAGTGGGTGACAGGGAGCACAGTGTGACGCGAGGTCACAGTCGGGCAGGATCCCTGCCACATAGGGCTGTGCACACCAGCAAATGGCATTTGGATGTTATTCTGAGTGCAATGGGAAAACTCTGGGTACTTCGGGTAGATGAGTGACACGATCAAATTTATTTTTAAGATCCTCCAGACTATATATGGAGACTAGATTTAAGGCGACCGGAGGTGGCAGCGAGCAAGTGCCCCAGAGGAGGGAGGTGTCCGCAGTAAGCCATGTAAGTGATGACAGTAATCATATTTTCAAATGAGATAAAACGGGTAGCAACTACTTCTCCTTTTTTGTCTCCCTTTCCCTTTTTTGCCTCCTCCCTGCCTTGTTTTTCTTTGACTTTCGTTTATTTTCCATACACACATGCAGAAGTCCCTGCTCTGTACGTGTTCCATATTTTACAGCAATATGCTTTCTTGTCTCACCGCCCAGACTTGGTGAGAAGCAGCTCCTGCTGTGGGCAGAGGTTAAAAGCATAGGCTCCAGAGAATAACGCCCTTCCGTGGCCCCCTGGGAGACAGGTGCATGAAAGTCTGAGAGAGGAGCAGAGAAAAAAGTTGCGGGGGCGGGGGGGGGGGGGGGGGTTACCACAATGCAAGAGCCGGAGCTGTCTACCTGAAAGGAATTGAAGAAGAGCTCACAGTGCATCCGGACCTCCCAGCCCAGCCCAGCGAAGGAGTGGGGCAGGCACAGGAACACGATGTAGTGCACTCCAAAGACCAGCACCAGGACCAGGGTCGATTTGGCGAGTTTCCTGAAAGAAGCCTTTTTATTAACCAACTTAGAGTGCCGGTCCGTGGAGATGGCTTGCAAAAAAAACCAAGCTTAGGAGAGGCTGACTTTTTCCCCGTCTCTTTAGATCCCGTGGCTTCTGCTAGATATTTTTCCCCCTCCCTCCTCTTCCTGTCACATTTATACTAAATAGAAAAAACGAAACGATTAATTCAAGCTCGAGAGGGACTGAGAAAGGCATAAGGGAAATAGTACTTTTTTTAAAAGCTAAATTTTTTATACTAAATCAAATTGTTTATTCTTACTTCCCATGATTATTATCCCTTAATTCTCTCTAATCTCATTTCCACTCTCCTGGATTAACAGATACTGTTTTCATAAAGCTATGAAATGCCCTTTGTTGCTGCCCTAAATTTACTGTAACTTCTATGTTTGAGACTTAAACAAGTATTACTTCCATCCATGTTAATTATCTTTACTTTCCACAGACCACATTTTGATTTGTTTTGTTCATTTTAAAATTAACTACTCCCAGGGCACGTGGGTAGCTCAATCACTTAAATGTCCAACTCTTAATTTCCGTTTAGGTCATGACCTCACAGCTCAGCTCAAGAGCTCACTCCCTGCCTCAGATTCTATCTCCCTCTCCACCCCTCTCCTGCTTGTGCTCAGTCTCTCTCTCTCTCTCTCTCTTAAATATAAATAAACACTAAATTTTTTTTAATTAAAATAAAATTAACTACTCCCTAGTTTCTTCATCAGTTGGATCTCCATTAATCATTTCATATTTTCTTATAAGCTGCATATGGCCAATGTTTTTTGCTGTCTGTAAATATTCTACAAATTATCTACAGTTCTAGGTTTTGTGCCTTTATTTGGCAAGCTAAGCAATTTGACTTTATTTCCCTTAACTACTTTTTTCATATATATTTTCTTGTGTAGCTGGAGGAACCCCAGGTTTCCAGTATGTTGGTTGACTCTAAAATGGCCCCCAGTGATTCCCCACCTAAGATTTACATTCTTGTTAATCCCCTTCCTTTGAGTATAGACAGAAACCTAGGACTTGTTTCTAATTGACAGACTACAGGCAAAATGATGGGATGTCACTTCTGTGATTACATTTCATAAGATTGTAACTTTCATCTTAATAGCAAAGCCTCTCCCTTGTTTGGTCCAATGAAGCAAGCAACCATGTTGTGAGCTAGTCTACTGAGTGGCCCATGTGGCAAGGTGGGGTGGCATCAGCGAACAGCCAAGAAAAAACTGAATTCTGTCAATAATCTCATAAACTTGGAAGCAGATTCTTCCCCAGTCCAACCTTAAGATAAGCCTGTAGCCCTGATTGACATCTCAGTTGATCCTTATAAAAGATCCTGAGGGAGGAGGTCCATGTAAACCATGCTCAGATTTCTGACCTACAGAAACGTTAAAATAGCAAGGTTTTTTTTTGTTGTTTTAAGCCACTTATGTTTGTGGTAATTCATTTGCACAGTAGATAACTAGTACACCCCAGCACATCATTTTCTGGTGTTTGGCTTTGGGGTTTTGGGGGGGAGGGGGTTCTTTTGTACTTTTTATCCAAGAATCTGCCAAATCTGGCTTCTTCTTTCTTTTTTTTTTAATTTTTTTTTAACGTTTATTTATTTCTGAGACAGGGAGAGACAGCATGAACGGGGGAGGGTCGGAGACAGAGGGAGACACAGAATCTGAAACAGGCTCCAGGCTCTGAGCTGTCAGCACAGAGCCTGACGCAGGGCTCGAACTCACAGACTGCGAGATCATGACCTGAGCCAAAGTCAGATGCTTAACTGACTGAGCTACCCAGGTGCCCCTGGCTTCTTTCTTATTCCTCAAATATTCCCTTATTTGGAAATCATTTATGCCCCAGTAATCTCAAACAATTGTAACCTTCTCCCTTTCTTACTGGTCTTTCCTCCAGCTACTTTTCTTTCTCCCTCCCTCCCTTCCTTCTTTCTTTCCTTCCTTCATTCATTCCTTCCTTCTTTATTTGTTTACTTATGTGTATACTTACCTAGTTTCCTTCTTAGAAATAAACAGTGTGGATAAGCAGAGATCACAATGGACTAAAACTAAACAGAACTGGATTCAGATTCCAGATTTGCCATTAACTTCCTAAGTGACTGGGATTCGGTTTTCTTTCCTCTAAAATGAGTTACAGAGCCCAGAAGTTTATAAGAGCTATAATAGTCTAAGGCTTTCATAGGGATCATCTTCCAGACACATCCACTTTCCTATCATAACCATCTTATCAGTTCCTTCAGGACCTAGGTGTCCCACAAAATCATATTCAAAAGCCTAACTTAGACATTTAGAGTTGCATATGTGTCCCATCTCATTCTCTGCTGCCTCTTGTATCTCTCAGTAGTGCCTAGACCATCTGCTCCTCTTGTCTCAGAGCCATCTGCTCTGCCTCAGGCTCACAGTTTCCCCAGTGGCCTATGGGCTTTCCCCTGTGCTGTTCTAGCCCCACACTTCATACTTTGACTCATCTACAGTCTACTTAGTTTGAAAATTCTACCTTAAGTCTGTTTCATTCAAGGCAGCATCCATGGTAAGACCATGGATTTCTCTGACCTAACTAAACCTTTCAACTTTCAGAGGCTCCTTGGGATATGCCTGTCCTCCTGAACCCTGACAAGTGACTATCCTTTTCCATCACTGCATAAATGAGCAAGACACTGTGAGTAACTTCATGACATCGGAATTCAGTCTAATCAGATAAAGGGGGACAGCACTAACTACATTTGCAGAACTTTACAAGTCTTGTTTAACATGACCCTGAAAAGGAAATTGCATTTCCTCTTTTAAGATGATTGAATAGGGGCGCCTGGGTGGCTGAATCCATTGAGTGTCCAACTTCAGCTCAGGTCATGATCTCACAGCTCGTGAGTTTGAGCCCTGCGTGGGGCTCTGTGCTGACAGCTCAAAGCCTGGAGCCTGCTTCAGATTCTATGTCTCTCTCTCCCTCTGCCCCTCTCCTGCTCACTCTCTCTCTCTCTCAAAATAAATAAACATTAAGTTAAAAAAATATTTTTAAGATGAATGGATAAATCCCCCTGGAGATATTCTCAAACTCAAGCTAACTTTGATTGTTCCTATTGTGTGTAACTAGGAGCCATAAACTAGGTTAAAACAGGAAAGAAAAAGAAGAAAGAAAGAGAGAGAAAGAAAGAAAGAAAGAAAGAAAGAAAGAAAGAAAGAAAGAAAGAAAGGAGAGGAGAGGAGAGGAGAGAGGACAGAAAGGAGAGGAGAGGAGAAGGGAGGCGAAGGGAGGGGAAGGGAAGGGAAGGGAAGGGAAGGGGGAAGAAAGAAGTGCAACACATTGTGAAGTGAGCACAAATATAAAATTTTAGGGACAGTTTGGTTCAAAGCAGAGCAAGAAACAGTTGTCAAAGACTGCAATTTAGTGGGAATCCTGCTAGCTCAGCCATCTGTTTTTTCTCTTTTTCTATGACTAGGCTCTTTTACAACTCTGTAGAGGTAAAAGTTAATTTGTAGCAAACATGATAATTGAATTTATTTTCTATTGCTATGTAACATATTATCACAAGTTTAGTGACATAAACAATATCCATTTATTCACTCTCAGTTTCTATATGCCTCACGTCCAGGCATGATGTACATAGATCTTCTGCTCAGGGTGTCACAAGGCCAAAATCAAGGTGTCAGCCACCAGGATTGTGTTTTCATCTGGACCTCCGGGCTCTTCTCCAAGTTCATGCATACTGCTAGCAGATCTCAGCTCCTTGAAGTTGTAGGACTGGGAGCTGGCTATTGGCCAGGGATCATTCGGTTCCTACAGGCTGCCCTCAGACTGTCCTCAGGTCCTAGCCATATGCCTTCACAACATGTGGGATTACTTCTTCAAAGCCAGCAGGAGGACCTCTCTCCAGGCTGTCACTCACAGGAGTCACTACCCCATCACTTTTGCCTTGTAATGTAACCTAAGCAAGGGAGAAACTGTCCTATCACAGGTCTTGCTCAAGAAGGGGTATGGAGGATGATTATAGAGGCATGTACACCAGGGGGAAGGTAATCTTGGTGGAGCAGGGGAGGGGGTGGGGAAGGTGAAGTATGTATCTTAGAAATTGGCCTACCGTAGTAGTGCAAATAATTCCTGTCCACAGAAATGTAAATTGTGCCCAGTGGAACGTCACTAATTTTAGCCCTGTTGATATTAACAAGTTTTACTAATTTGCATCCATTTGTAAATTCATTTCAGCCTTCATGATTCCCGTTTAAGCGTGTGTAATGTCTTACCAGTTCCTTCATTAATGACTTAAATAAGATCTTTGAAGTGTGTTCATTTATATTTGTATAAAAGTTATGATTACATCCTCTTTGAAAATTTATCCTCCAGTGCCAGGGGTAAGTTGAAGCAGGGGCATGTACGAGGCCGATGGATACATGGGTCATCTGTTCGCTTATAAAGATGGATTTTTGCACTCGCATCAAATCCTTCAGCAATCCTGGGCACTGATTTGTTCGGCGTCCATCTGGTCACTCACGCACACTGTACATCTTCGCAGCCCGGCTCTCTGAAAAGGCACAGCTGCCTAGTGAGATGATCAGGGACGCACCAACTGAACGTGGCCTTCTGGCTTGCTGAAAACACGGTGGCGGCTCTGCCTCCAAGGGCAAAGCCATGAGAGGAATGTAAAGGAATCGAAGGGTCTGTGGGACTCAGTGTCCTATTTAGAAAATAGATACTCAATTCTTGCAACAGCTCTCTCCCCAGGTGAAAAGTGTTGGAAGATCTCTACTTTCCTTGTCGGAGTCAACTTAGCTTTTTGAAAAAAACTACTATTTCCCTGAAGCCTTTTTCGATCCCTCTTGAGCTTGAATTAATCTTCTCCTTTTATCTATACACCTAACACTTTGTAAGTGCATCTCTACTGGATACTGTCCTCACTTTGTTTAATTAAATCTCTCTCTCTCTCTCTCTCTCTCTCTCTCTCTCTCTCACCACTCACTCAAATTTTTTTGCACACAGAAACCATGTCTTCTTATACTTTGAATTCTTGTGTGGCACAAAAAGGGCACTCAGTCAATGAAGCTGTTGCCTATGACGCCCCTGTTACATACTATACTGGCTGCCTCCTTTTATTCTGCCAACCATGTAAGAGCCGTTATCATCCCATAGCCTGATGAGGACAGAGGCTCGGAAAAGCAAAGTATTCGCCTAAAGTCAGACAATGACTACAGGATTCAGCCTTAAAATCTGCCCTCTTTACTATCATACTACATAATAGACATTGGTTGAATTTATTCCAAAAATAATAAACAATAAATACGATTTTTGTCTAACATTGAATGGAAAGTCAAATTAGCCCAAACATTCCAATGTTCTTGTCCATTCAATCTTGCATTTCTCATAGCTCACGTTCTTCCACTTCTGGCAATCTTTTCTTACTTTGCAAGGGGATTGAGTTCTAATTTAAAACAAAAACTGCAGGGGTGCCTGGGTTGCTCAGTCAGTTAAGCATCTGACTTCAACTCAGGTCATGATCTCACAGTTTGTGAGTTTGAGCCTTGCTTCAGGCTCTGCGCTGACAGCTCAGAGCCTGGAGCCCACTTCAGATTCTGTGTCTCCCTCTCTCTCTGCCCCTCCCCTGCTCATGCTCTCTCTCTCTCTCTCTCCCTCCCTCCCTCCCTCCCTCCCTCCCTCTCGAAATTAAATAAACATTTAAAATTTTTTTTTAAAAGCAAAAAATGCATCAGCCTTGCTGTTAAATCTGATATATTATTTAATTTTCTACACACCAGTCTTGTTTTAAAATAACTGATGTGGTAAATAAAAAGAAAGACAGAGCCTTTCCTCACCACATTTTGAACTTTAGACACTAGTAAGAATACGAAGGGTGTTTCAGTTATTAAAAAAAAAAATGTATGTGGCTGGAAAATACTTTCCCTGACTACCTGACATTAGTCTAGACTCTGTTCAAATTAATCACTTCAAACTTAAAACACTTCTGGGCCCCAGATTATTTAAAAATTTGTTCTGAATTCTGAATAGATTATTTTAATCCTTGATGAATTTTTCTCTTCCATTGTTTTGAGAACTACTCCCCCATGCATGAACTCAAAATATTGTCTATTCAAACTATGTTTTAAGATAATTCACCCTTTGTTCTCTCCAGAATTTTTTCTCAAGTCTCTTTGGTAACTTTTAACTGAGAGTTCAACTTCACATCATTTAGAACTATAAAAATAAGGAGCTTTTATTCAGAACTAGAGAAATAAGCAGCTTTCAAAAACCTTTGTGCTTTTCCACTTTATGGAGAAAATTGAAGAGCTATTTACATTTTCCACTGTTCTGTCATCCCCTGGCCTTTGTCTTCATCAGTGGGATGTGACAGGAGACAGGCTATATTAGTATGGCAAAGGTCCTTCACTGTAAACTCTTAGGCACAATTTATATTATAATAATACCGCTTGCAGCACATTAAAAATAATTGGAGCCTGCAGCTACTGGTTTGTTCAGTGTGTGTCTTATCCCAGACTCCAGTCTACACCCATCATCTTTTCTGCCTGACAGTGAAAGTTGCCTACACAGTAGAGGGAAATAATTCAACAAAGGGCTTCGAGAACAGTTGTGACACTGAACCAAAATACTGACTATGGTTTCTTCCTTTCTGTGTCTCAGACAGAACTTCCTAACAATCCAAGACAGAAAGAAGTGGTTATTACTTTGGGATTATAAAGATCAATCCACATCCACCTGACCACTGGATGTATGCACAATTGGATAGAGGCTGTTATTATTCGGGACTCCCAAAATTGTCATTGGGAAAAGTGGGAATACCCTTAAGATAGCTTGATAATGATCATAAACATTCAATTTGCCCTTTTCTTCATGAAAGACTGAATAATGTGTCTTGCTCAGTGTATTTGAACATTCTTAAAAATTTATATTTGGTAGGGGCCAGTTTGATGGACAGATTGGAAACAATACAGCAAACCCACCTTCTTGATATTTTCAGTTATGACATATTATTTTAAGAACACAGAGGGGCCCCTGGGTGGCTCAGTCGGTTAGATATCCGACTTCAGCTCAGGTCATGATCTCACGGCTGGTGGGTTCGAGCCCTGTGTTGGGCTTTGTGCTGACAGCTCAGACCCTGGAGCCTGCTTCAGATTCTATCTCCTTCTCTCTCTGCCCTTCCCCCACTTGCTCTCTCTCTCTCTCTCTCTCTCTCTCAAAAATAAATAAACATTAAAAAAAAAAAAGAACACAGATAAAATTGTCTGCTAAGATCATCAACAAGAGATTTTCTGGGTAGTCACATTGTTTATGGGAAAATCCCAATCTGCTAAGAACAGATAAAAAAAATTATACTTAATACTTAAAATGTAAGCACATTAGGAAGGTTCTAGATTACTTAGATTTTCCTAAAATATATCTATGCATTTCTGATAAATGGCATAACTAAACCAAGTGAAAATTCATATTCACAAATTTATCTCTCAGAGACATTTCAGATCAATCAATACCTGTTCTTTACTCTAAATAGTAACCAAAATATTTCCTCTGCTAGATGCCTGTCCTGGAATTACCTGTATTGCTTTTTTGTGTCATGCCCAACTGCATTGGTCTCCCAGATTTTGGTAGCCAGAACTCTAACCGTATTCAGAAACAGAATAAAATTGAGCTGAAAGAGAAGGTAATATTACAAAGAATTATTAACTTAGCCATCAAGATGTTTATAAAAAGTTATACAAATTGAACTTCTTTGTATTCAAAAACCATAAATTACCCATTCCATATATGTGAAAGAGGGACTCTGAGATAAGATACTGGACAGCTAGTGATTCTTGAGTTGCCCTCATGAAAACACAGAGATAAAAAGTTGCAACAGCACTGGAAACTAAAAATGCCAGAGGATGATCTGCCAGAATCCATAGGGAATTTCCAAACCCAAGTTCAGATGAAGTCCTGTGGCAGACTGGCAGAATAAAGGATAATAGTTATACAAATGTAACTACCTGCCCTTTTTGAAATGAGTTCCCAGCTTCTGTATAAAGTTGTTATACAGTTGTTATACAGTTCTGTATAGAGTTGTTTGGGGGATGCTGTCCTTCTTATGACATATGAAAAGTATTGAGTGAAGTATATAGGTTTAAAAAAAAAAGGAAATGATGTGGGGCATGGATGAAATAGATAAAAGGGATTAAGAGCACACTTATCTTGATGAGCACTGAGTAATGTACATAATTGTTAAACTATTAAGTTGTACGCCTAAAACTAACACTGTATGTCATGTACACTTCAATTAAAACAATATTTTAAAAACACTTCTCAGGCACACACAAAACAAGATGCTGTCTAAGAATAGGCCCCCACTGGAGGCAGTTAGATTGAATTTGAAATATTACAGGTGTGAGAACCCCAGAGACAATCAAGTTCTGGTTTTAAAAATGTTGGGGAGGTGCTGGTAGGATAAGCCCTTTTATGTCTGAGGGCCACAAGAATCAGAAAAGAGATCCAAAATGAAGAAAAAGAAAAGATCTCCAGGTCTAGGGTCATAGGGAAGTAGAGGCCTGAGGCCCTGGAGATGCCTGCAGTCCAGAAAGTGTCACTACTTAGGAATAACGGTAATGTGGGTTGCCAAGAGTGGGCTTGTGTTAGCGGCAGATGAACAGCAGGAAGAGAGGACTGATCAAGTTCTGGATCTTGGAAAATAAAACTTGCCGAGTTTTCAACCATTTCTGGAATTCGAAGAATTTGGGTTGTGGGGTGATTCATGTGCCCCTCTCCTGGGTCCAGCTGATCGTCTCCATCAGCCCTCAGCCCCCTGCCACCTTCTTTGCCATCCTACCTACTGACTATGCTCTCACCTCTCACTGATTTCACACTTCTTACAAGAACTAGGGGCTGAGACTTGAGCCCCATACCCTGGAGGAAGGACACAGGTGCACTGTGAGCTGGTGGAAGAATAAGGATTTTTCAGGCCAGTAACAACTGCCATTTATTGAACACCTGAGTTTAAATGCTCACAGGAATATGGGACAAGCATAGGTCCCTTTATTATGGATGAAGAAACTCCAGCCCAAAGAGATCAATTGATTTGACCTAAGCTACCCAGCTATCAGGGGAATCTGACCCAGGTCTGTGTGGGTCTGTACTGTGAATTCTTAACCACTATCTTATACCTTCTCTTCAGGAGGATAAAAAAAAATGCAAAACATGAGAGCTGAGGACCTCCACTCATCCTCACCCACCGCAACACCTGGCTCCAGACGTAAAATCATTTTCTCTTTTTTTTTTTAATGTTTGTTTATTTCTGAGACAGAGAGAGAGAGAGAGAGAGAGCATGCATGAGCAGGGGAGGGGTAAAGAGAGGGGGACAGAGACTCCCAAGCAGGCTCTGTGCTGACAGCAGCAAGCCTGATGAGGGGCTCCAACTCCAGAACAGTGAGATCATGACCTGAGCCAAAGTCAGATGCTCAACCGACTGAGCCACGCCGGTGCCTAAGACACAAAATCTTTTTCAATAAGAGGGTGAGAGCTGCTCACAGATGTCACATGAGTGCTACTTTGTGAACAGCCACTCATGTCAGGCCTCATTAATTCTACTCTCCCTATGACTTCAGCCCCAGGCGATACAGTGCAGCTGGGAGTCAAACTGGTGAGAAGCGATGATGTGTAATTACCCTTAAAGGACGAAGTGGTAGGAACTAAAGCTGGCATAGCTATGGAAGCAATGCCAACTGGGGACTATCACTTGTCATTTCCCGTTCCTGGAAAAGGAAAAATTGTAGATGGCTTCAGGCAGGCCAACCTTAAACTCCATCCATATTAAAAAGCTCACGACCAGGAATTGGCCAGCGGACCACAGTAAATAAATACTGAAAACTCCCAAGAATTTGACTACAGAAAATACACACATCCAATACATCAGTTTAATAACTAAGACGATGCATTTAAGGACAAGGAAGTGGATTATGGAAAGAATTAGGAAAAACTAAGATTGAGTAAAACGTGCTGCCTTAAAAGATCAGCTAACGAAATATGCTGATACCTGTGACAATAGTTGGGTGACATTCCAAATAATTACTGTGAATAATTTAGGAAAGTATAGAATAAAGGGTAATTAGAAACTAAGTTATTGACCACTTAAGTGTATTACGCGAAGTGACTCAGTCTTCACAGGAGATAGGCATATTATTGCCCCATTTTACAGATGAGGAACCTGAGTAACAGTTTACACAAATTATTCCCAGTCACACAGCCAGCACGTGACAGAGGCCTCCTGAGGCCCTTGCCGCCTGGACGCAATAGCATGCACTCAACCACTGCACCGTACTGTCCGTAAAATAGAGTTGAGTTACCGCAGATTGAGATGGAGACAGAAACTTAAAGAGCAGGGTGGATTAAGAAAAGATTGTAAAGAATCTAAACTATAATCAAGTTTGGGGAGCCTGGATGGCTCCGTCGGTTAAGCATCTGACTTCTGCTCAGGTCATGATCTTACGTTTCATGAGCTCGAGCCCCAAGTCAGCCTCTGTGCTGACGGCTCAGAGCCTGGAGCCTGTTTCGGATTCTGTGTGTGTGTGTGTCTCTCTCTCTCAGTCCCTCCCCCACTCATCCCTGACTGTGTGTGCGTGTGTGTGTGTGTGTGTGTGTGTGTGTGTGTCTCAAAAAATAAATAAACATTAAAAAAATTTTTAAATAAATTAATTAATTAAATAAAATAAGATATAATCAAGTCTTAAAATCAGTATTCGAAACAGCAAACAGCAGATCTAACAAAGCAGGAGAACACATCCAGCAATGTGGAAGACCACTGAAGACGCTTCCCACACCGGAGGTAAAGAACAGAGAGAACCACCCACACAATGAGGGGAGAGGTGCCTGTGTGGACGACAGGGAATTGCAAGTTATCATGCAGATTTATTTCTCCTTCTGCAGAAAAGATAATGATAAATTGAACAAACCAATAAAAATATAAGAGGGAGAAGTCCCTGCGCCAAAGGAAGATCTGAGCCTGTAGACAGAAAAATGACGTTATACGCGGGGCAAATGGAATGATAAAAGAACGAGACCAAGAAGAAGCGTCCTGGTGAGATTCTTCAATTTTATTTTAGAAGATGAAGACACGATTCTAAGAGAAAATTAGAGAGTCCTCGCATCTCTCATGTGAACCTCTTGTAAAATTTTGCTTAAAGGTCTACTTCAGGCAAAGCACAGATAAAACAAAGAAAAAAACCAAAACCGAGAAGGTGAATAAAATGACCCCCTCGTCAGCATTAAAACCAGTCACATATAGAATCAATTTTATGCAAATGTGGTTTTTAAATAATGCAAATGTAAACATTAGATTCTCTCTCAATTAAAAATTTAAAGATGGATTCAAAGTGAAGCACAGATGAATTAAAACAAAGAACTCAAAACTTCAGCCTGGAAACCTCTGGCCCCGCAGGCTATCTCTGAGACTTTGTTCCCAGAGCCCTCTTGGCCGGGATCCTTCTCTCATTCCCTCTGCCCCCCCCTCCCTCATGAGGGTAGCTCATTTTCCTAGGCTTCAGGCTGAATGTCAGCTTTCCTCTGAAGCTGTTCCAACCTCACCCCAGCACTTGTCACGTTTAAATGTTTGCCTCACCCACTCTGCTTAAGCTTCAGGAGGAACTGGTGTATGTCGCCCCACCGTATCACCGCCATTGCCTCACCCAGCACCCGCAATGTTCTCGGTGTTTAATCGGGACTTGTTAAATGAGTGAATGAATAATTGCGTGAGATATGCCCTCTCCAAGCCCTAGTTATATTCTGGGAAATCAGCATATCCCCCTTTCATGTAGAGTGTTCACTTCTATGTGTCTATCATAAAAGACATGCTCAGAGAAAGAAGTCAGAATTTATGTATAGGAAAGCCCACTGTTGTAAAACCTCTATAAACCCATCTCTGGGCCCCTGCAATTTTCATCTCTGCCTTTGGACACAGGCGGGGGAGGGGTGCTTCCTCCTGGTCCCGATTGTCCCTGCCAGGGGGCGCTGCTCAACTGACGTGCACTTCCGTTCTCCCCTTCACTCTCTCCAGCCCTGAAGGAGACAAACCTAAGTATTTAATGAGCAAATGTGTGAAGAATATGGACTTTGTTTGACCTGGCCCATCCTTCTTTGCCTTGGGAGCTTGCCACGAGCACACTTGCCCTGCAGCATCTCCAGGGTTAGGAGTCTGCCCCTTAGCCTCCCGTGTGAATGTAGATCCTCCTGTCTCCGGGGGCGGTGGCCCCCTTGGTCAGGATGGATTACATCCACCAACTAAACCTTTACCACTTCTTCCAGACCATGCTGCCCTGCGTGCCCTCTTCTTCCTTCCATCGATGTTCTGGAAGGCCCAGCACCAAAACAACGCTCCGTCTCTGCTGTCGACCAGGAAGTATTCCTCTCAGAGTTTGATGTTATACAGAAGAATTTTTTCTTAATCATCCTCAAATCAACAGCGTGTTGCAGGTGAATAACAAATTGTTATATTGGCAGATGTTTATTTTCAGAACAAAAAAAAATAAAGTTTTCTTATGTTTTCTGATGTTCTCTTAAGCATGGTTTTAACACTTGTGAATAAAACAAAGCCAACAACAGTGCTATAATTTTAGATTGTGTGATTCCAAAATACAGTGGTTCATCCTAAATTTATACTAAAGTCTCTAAAATTCGATTCTTTCGATATGACTTCTTCAAGTTAGAACCTATAAATGCTTATTCTCTATAAACTCCTATGTTCTCTTAAATTCAGTTTGCTTTATATATAGCTTAGAACTTCTGATCACATTTACTCCCAGATTTTACTCCCAGATACACAAAATTCCAATTAATAGAATCTCTGCTATTCCAGTATCCAAAGCCAGAATTAAGTGAGGGATCCAACCTATATTTAAAATTCTTGGCAAATAATTTCTGATAGCGTATATGGAGCATATCTAATTACATAAAACCCTGCCACATGCAATGCAAGTTTGAAAAACAAATATTTTATCCAAAGTTAACATATAAAAACTATAAATATTGCCTTAAAGATTGAAAGACCTTTTTCCCATAAATTCAAGAAACAATCTTGACACATTTTGGAGTGCAAGTGACAAGAACATGGTCAAAACCGTGCTTAGTCTTATTTTGTCACACTATCTGTGACCTTTATCTGTGTGGACTCTAGTTACCTTCTCTGGAAATGAAAAGGTTACAGGAAATGCAGAGGTTCTGTAATTACACAGCACTTTGCTTGGTGCTCTCATTTCACTTCTTGCCTCTTACCAGTTCCCCGGGGCATCTACTTCGCACACAGTTTTATTTTTTCAACAAATATTTATTGAGTGGCCGCTCTGCACCAGGAAACCTGCTAGGCACTAGAAATATAGAATTTTAGGGAAAATATGGTTCTTGATCACATAATCCTTGTAGCTTAGAGGGCAGGATGGACGCTCAACAATTAGGAGCTTCATACATTGTGATGATCTTGAGAAGGAAAAAAACCTCACCTTGCTCTGTGGGTTATGACAGGTGTGACCTAATTTAGACTGGAGGCATCAAGGAGGCCACAATGAAGAAGTGGCATTTAAAGTGAGGAACGGAAGAAAGCACATCCCCACCTTCCAGGGGTACAGAGCAGAATGTGGGAAAGCCCTGAGGAGGCAGAGGTGGACAAGTTCAAGGATCTGAAAGGAAAACAATGTGGCTGAGGTACTGCATGTAAATGGTGCAGGCACGAGTGACCAGGGGCTTCTCTAGACTATCAGCAACGTTAGATTTTATTATACGTGCAAGGAGTTCATTGGGTAGAGACAGTGGGCCTGAAGTTAGAATCCCCACTTACTAGCCACTTACTCCATCACTTACTAGCTGTGTGACCTCGGGCAGTTTCCTCTTCTAGAAGATTAGATAAATCTATGTAAATAAAGCACTTAAAACAGTGCCCACTGCAAGGTAAGCACTGTGCAGTGTTTGCTGTTATTTGTCATGCTTCCCAGCTTCAGGACACTGAGGAGCTGAGAGGAGGGAGCCTTATCACTCAGAACACGAGGACAAGGTTCAGGCACACCTCTTTCCTTACAGACTGGTTCTACAGTGAAATGAGAGGATCTTAAAGGGAACTGTGATAACTGAATTGTAATACTAAAACAAAATGGTCGCTCAAAGAACACAAAGCTTCTCTTGAATCTTCTCTGATTCATGAGAAAAAATGGGTGTTGTGATATTGGAAAAACATTTAAGAATTCTTGCTTTGGAGCTGTCATAATTTTAGTTCGAGAATATGAAAGTGGCTTCCCCCTAAGTTTTCTTCAAAATGCATTGAGTGTACCATCATTTCTAGCTCTCTTTCCCCAATGGGGAATCTTCTAAGAACCTCCATAATCACCTAACTTTACTGTTTTACTTTTCAGTTTAGAAACCTCAGCAAATAAACTTCTCATCCATGTTGACAATGTAACTAAGATCTGCAAACAAACAAACACAAAAACACAAAGCTTTGGCTAAAAAATCAATGGTTTGGGGGGTGCCTGGGTGGCTCAGTTGGTTAGGCATCCCACTTTGTCCCAGTCAGTTAAGCGTTCCCAGATCAGGTCATGATCTCACAGTTTGTGAGTTGGAGCCCCTGGTCAGGCTCTGTGCTGACAGCCTGGAGCCTGTTTTGGATTCTGCATCTCCCTCTGTCTCTGCCCCTCCCCTGCTTGTGCGCTCTCTCTCTCTCTTTCTCTCTCTAAAATATAAATAAACATTTTAAAAATTTTAAATCAACGGTTTCAATGGAAGATGTCCTATGATTTACTTTTCTCCACTGTCCTCTGCTTCAGTTATTAATTTTGCGAGGATCTCTTAGACTTTTCACAGGTCTTTTCTTTCCAGCAAATGAAAACTCACACTTGATGTTCTTAAACTCACCTACATTTTCATATAATGTTTAATTATATCTTATTTCACAATTCTAGTACAAAGCACCGAAGACACTAAAAGTAAGAAGACCCCTTAAAAAGAGGATGGTAAGTGATGGATGAGCGAACCCAGTAGAGGAGGAACTAGGAGGAAAGAAAATGAAAGGTGGGGAAGCACAGATGAGGATAGAGTATTAGAGGATAAAAGGGAAATCAGAGTGGTAAACACCAGACCTTACTTCATAAAGTGAACTTGTATCTTTAACTTCATTCATGTTCCCCCAGGGATATAGTTTATCACCAAATGGTTTGATGGGGTGGTTTATCCCCAGACTAAGAAAGCAGCCCTTCATTAAAATTAAAATTAAATGATAAGAGTTTATAAATGTAAGTCATTCATTCATTTACCCACAGTCCGTTTATAGCTTCTCCTATGACATAGAATCTGTTCTACTTTGCTAATATGCTGTTTTCTCAAGGATACAAACCGGCTTCTCTAAAAGTGTTCTACATTTTATTTCCCCCATAAGCACTTACACCAATGGGCTTTTGAAATGAAGAGTCCTTTTCAATCTTTTCTATTTTTCTTTCTGCATTTTTCCTATGAGATAAACAAGCTTTTCTCTGAGTCTGGATAAATACTACAAAACCTCAGTCCCATTAATAGCTGTCCCTCTGTATCCAGTGTGGCAACATAATGACAAACTGGGTGATGCATTGTGCTACAGAAAACAAAATGAGAAAAGTAAGAAACTGGAGAACAAAGAAAGACAAAAAAAAGAAAATCATTAAGAATTAGACTCCTACATTACTTTCAAATGATTTCACAGTTAATATGGGAACATAAGTCATTGTATTAAGATGTTTATAATCTTGAATTAACACAAGAAACATGAGATGGTATAATTTCTTCATCAAACCACAGAGAAGCGATAAAGCCTTCAAGGAAAGTCAAGAGTAAACATTTTGGTGAGTTTTGTCAGACACAAAGAAGTGTAACTTTGTTTTCTTTCACAACACAGATATAATACACCCGTGAAATATTATAGGCAGATAAGGTCCATGCAATACACATTGCCTACTCCAGTCTTTTTCTATTACATATCAGACAGGGTTCTGTGGAATATGTCTCCACATAGCATCCTCTTAACTACTGGAAGACATTATGCCAAGGAAGAGGTTTAGTCAATGCTTTATAATGAAGCATCCTATCATTTTTCTTTCTCCCAGTAATTCCTCTGTTCTCCCACTATTTGTCCTCTCCTCCTGACCTACTTACTACCAGGTGATCAGAACAGTAAAGTGGAGCTATAATATAACAGATGTAAAGAAAGAAGAGTTTTAGGACCTTCCAACTCCTTGAACATGTAAATGGTCACAGATATCTTGAAGCCCTGGAATTTAACCATGTGCTAGCTGATTAAAGCAAGGTCTGTGCTTTCTGCATAGATCTCAGCATCAGCCACAAGTACTGGTATGATCCTAGCCCAGACTCTCCCAACAGCTATTGCTATAATGTGCGAGTCTCCTAAACCTTTGTAGAAGAGACAGACACACTCTCTCTCAGTTTTAGCAGCAACTTAATTATGCATCCTATTCCTTTCTTTCTACTACACAGGCTTTTTACACTCACCCCGATAGCTGCTAAGATTGGAGCTTGATAAATCCACTTGATGTTTCCAGCACTAAGTTCCCAGCATCTGAGATATGAAAAGAATTTTCATGAATAAATTGACAAGCAAATAGGCAGTGAGAACCAAGTAGCATTTTAAGTTTTACTGAACATTCCTGTCCCAAGCTTTTTTTTTAATGTTTATTTATTTTTGAGAGGGAGAGACAGAATGCAAGCAGGGGAGGGGCAGAGAGAGAGAGGGAGACACAAATCTGAAGCAGGCTCCAGGCTCTGAGTTATCAGCATAGAGCCTGATGTGGGGCTTGAACTCACCAACTGTGAGATCATGAGCTGAGCCAAAGTTGGATGTTTAACCAACTGAGCCACCCAGGCGCACCCCCGCCCCCCGTCCCAAGCTTTTGATTGAAAGATAAGTAGACACACACACACACACACACATCTCATTAAATACCCAAACTAGTGAAAAAATGTGTAATGGGTCTTGGTTTCCATACGATGAACTGTGGAGCATTATAAATATTGTTTAATTTTATATCAACAAGAGTCAAAACCACAGTTCCAGAACCACAAAAAATTATTGTCTTCTAAATGTGGTACACCTGATACTTCATTTTCTTATCACTGGAATGAGAAAGTCTTCTCACTTCCGAAAGTTCCAGCAATTCTGTAACTCCACATGCTGTAGAATACTGACAATAATGTGAATCATTCTTATCCATCGAAATGCAATAAAAAGCTGACAGTGGGTGGCTCAATCAGTTAAGCATCCAACTTTGGCTCACGTTACCGGCTCTCGCAGTTCGTGAGTCCGAGTCCCAAGCTGGGCTCTGTGCTGACAGCTCAGAGCCTGGAGCCTGCTTTGAATTCTGTGTCTCCCTCTCTCTCTGTCTCTCCCCTGCTCATGCTCTTTCTCTTTCAAAAATAAACATTAAAAACTGACAGTAATGCAAATGATCCTTGTTGACAGATATGCGTTAGAAAACTAGAAGCAAGTGATTTTTATACATAGAAATGAAAACTAGTTGTGTTTGGTGGAATATGATTGATTATTGCCTTATGAAGACTGAATTTTTGCATGTATTTATAAATTTATTCAGTGTTCATTTTGCTAAATATAAGCGTGTGATTCCTATATTTCTTCTTTGAACCAGTTATAACATCTTACTCGTTCCCTCATTAATTAGTGAATTAAAGATCTTTGACAACGCTCATTTTACATTAGCATAAAATCCATGATTTTATCTTTGACTGTAAAAAGCTTGTTTTTAGCAGTACTTAATAAAAACACTATATGATTTACCTATTTGTTATGTTTATCTTCTGCTCAACTGCCATCCCAACTAGAATTTAGTTTCTACATGAACAGGGAACGTTTTTCTTATTTTCTGATGTAGTATAAGTGCCTATAATAATATGGAGCATGTAGGTAGTTGACAAATATTTTTGGATTGAATTGAATCGAAAGTAAGTTCACTCAGTCTCACCCAGGCTGGTTTGGGATTGGGTGAAATTGGAATAAATGGAACAGTGTTGAGAAAAACTAATTCTGCATGAAACTTTAATGTAGCACTTTAAACAGTTTTTATACATTAAAGATACATAACTAAAAGCTTCTTTCTTGGGTTTTCTCTCCTTAGACAAAACCTAGCATCAGTTGTAGGGACAATAAATGAAATTGTATAAAAAATATTAAGGATATAAGGATAATTTTTTTAATTCTAGATGATAAACTTATCAAAAAGTCACTTTTAAATTAATGAATAAGTTATGGATAATACAAAGCAATTTCAACTACCTCTTGAAGGTAAAACATTTTCAGTATATATGTAATGACCATATAGTTTTAAATTTTAACATTTTCATACAGGTGATACATTCCCATTTGAAAAATCAAACTATATGAAAAGACAGCCATTGAGACATCTCAGTTCTTCTGATCTTCCTATTTTCCTCTGCCCATCTCTCTCCGTATACATCACATCTTTTATTACTTTATTGTATATGTTTCTAGTGTTTTCTTATGCATATTCAAATCCAAACATTATATCTTATTTTCCCCTACCCTATGAAAAGTGCAACGTATACTCTGTTCTGCAACTGGCTCTTTCCTTTTAACAGTACATTTTTTATTTCTTTTCCTATCGGTACCAAGACAGCTCAGTAGCACAGCATTCCATTAGAAAGATATACCACAGTAGAATCAACTAGACCCCAAGACCAAAGTATAATCCTGACCCTGATACACTGCAATCTGCAGAATCAATGGACTTGAAGCTTGAATAACATGGAAATCAAAGACAGGGAGATTTTGCACTCGCACATTATGAAACCTTTCCTAGCATTATTTGCATGCATGTATTTTTCACGTTATTCAACCATACAGGAAAGATAAGCGTGACTGAGTTGTGCAGAATGTCTATCACGCTACCCGAAAAACGCTTCCTACTAAATGGAAAGTGGCATATATTGTATGAATATAAATTGAACACTGATTCACTAGCTGCAAAGTTCTTGAATTCTGTAAATTTTCTTTTTGCTTTGACTTTTGGTAATATCTCCACAATCTTCTTTCTTTGCCTCAATGACATTTCATCACGGTGTCTCCTAACACACTTCAGTTCAGTTGTACAATTGCAGCTCTATAAAATACTTCTATTTGGAACTAGGTCAAAACCAGCTACCTCTAGAAACAGGAAAAACTTGACTTTGATAATTTTCAATGTCAAAGTTTCAAATTCACCCTTTGATATGAAAGGCAACTGAGATGTCAGATTTTTTTTTTTAAGAAAACACTATTAATCCTTGCTTTTCATTCATTCATTCCTCAATGTCCCAGCTCATGCTGTGTTTGTTAACATGGCTCAGAAACTACCCTCTGTTCAGACTTCACAAATTAAATTTTAACACTCTCAAAAATGCGGAAATGAATGTAACTAAAAATGCAATTCTGAGTAGTGAGCATGAGGCACAAGGGTCTGACTAGAAACTAGGAACTAGGACTTCCTGGAGCCAGAACCGGGAATAGGAGAGGCACTGTTCTGCCAGAACAGATCCAGGGAGTTGTGCTGACCGAACACCACATTGTACCCACAACTCACAATGTGACAAGAGCAGGGGAAGTGCAGAAGCCCTGGGAACCATGCAGATTTCTTCGAAATGGTAGAAGCTATCTTTCTTGGTTCTTTGCACCACTGGGTCCCACCTTGCCTGTTGGCATCTCATCTCCTTTGAATGAGCAGGGAGAAGGTAATAAGGTAGCTAATGGGGGGGGGGGGGGGTTGCTTTCATTAAGTAAAAAGAAAGAGAAACAAATATACTCACTTTTTAAGCTCATTTGTCCAATCAAAACTACTCAATTTTCTTACCCTAGCTTAGCCAAATAACTTGATAGAATTTTAGAGCTGTAAGACTTCTTTTGTGTATTCAGTAGCATTTAGAGGATCTTCCAAAACTGAGTCTGGTCGGCTTACCTCTAATAGGCAAGGCTACAGAGAAAATCAGAGTTCTAGCTTTGGAAGGCCAGATTAGAAAAAAGAAGAATCTCAAATATTAGAGACAGGAGCAGAGATCCCATTCATCCTTTGAGGATGCCCCAAGCTGGCTCCAAAGCTGAACTTTGTGGCAGAGCACTCTCTGTAGGTGAGATTACCCTCAAGAAAACCCACAAAAACTTTCTATCCAGAGACAAGCTGAATTTCATGAAAAATCAAGTTAGGCAACTTTGAAATCATGCTATGTATGTGATAATACAGTTTTATTTTATATGCAAAATAAATATAAAATGACCCCTTAACCCAATTATCACGTTCAGATCAGGACACTATAAAATTCAAAATTTTATTCTGAGTAAGGCAGGAATAAATGTTTTGCACAGAGGAGTCACATGATCTAACTTATATTTAATTTTTTGGCATTAATTCAACTGTTTCAGAGCAATATTCAGTATCAGTTGTACTTTTTGAAATATTGTGTACCTAAAGGATGTTTTGCCTCAAAAACAATAGATGTATAATTCTTTTTTTCTTAAAAAAAAATACATATGACTGCTAATGGTGTATGATTCAGTTTATGATTTTCAAGAAAGTATAAAAGATCGCTAAGAAAACTAATTATCTAATTCAATATAAAATGCATTGTGAATATTTTTGCTTGCTTTCTATGCTCAAGGCTTGGAATATCTGTTGAACCGATGAATGAGTCAAAATTGCTACAGGCTGACCGTAGGTTTTGGAGATGTAACCTGATGTCTCTGGGAGGCATTTTATTCATCTCTCAAATGAGAGGATTGAACGAAAAAATACCTTAGGATATATTTTCTCTAAAATTCCGAATCTAATTTATATGGTTACACATCTCAGGGTAAAATTATTTAGCATTATTTAGTACCTCTTTACTGACTCAACCCACCCCGCAAGAAATCAAATAGCAGACACTGTAAGTTTTCTTTGACATTTCCAGTATCATCGTATACATATAGCAATAATGATAATGCTGATAACATTAACCCTCAATTATTAGCAAATTTAATGTTTGCATAGAAGTTGGAGTTTGCAAAGCCCTTTCATAAACGGGCTCTCATCTGATTTTCAAATCTACCCCCTGCAGACTCACAACCTTACTCATCACCAAGAATATTTTCATTTTACAAATGGGAAGTCTGAGGCTAAGGGAAATGGCCACAATTAACAAACGGACGAGAAAATGCATCTCCTGGTAACTCACAGTTTGCATCGAGTCAGACTTTATCTTGCTCAAGGGACACTTAGCAAATGGAGGAAAGTGGCCAAATAGATCCATAACAACTGATCAGCAAGCATTGAAGAGTTCTCTATTATAAAACAGAGACATTCACTCCTACCCATTTGTAATTCATAGGTTTTTTTTTTTCAAATCTGACAGTTATACATGCACATCAAGAGAAATAAGATAGTATGTAAGAAAGGGAAAATAACAGAATATACATACAAAATGCTACAGGAATTTGATAAGGAAGATTTTACATGGTGGGATAGTGAGTTCAAACATACTGAAGTTGCAGACTACTTGTAGTTATGGTTTTCCTTTCTGAACACCATGAAATGTAGATTTTTTTTTTAATTTTTTTTTTCCAACGTTTATTTATTTATTTTTGGGACAGAGAGAGACAGAGCATGAACGGGGGAGGGGCAGAGAGAGAGGGAGACACAGAATCGGAAACAGGCTCCAGGCTCTGAGCCATCAGCCCAGAGCCCGACGCGGGGCTCGAACTCACGGAGCGCGAGATGGTGACCTGGCTGAAGTCGGACGCTTAACCGACTGCGCCACCCAGGCGCCCCATGAAATGTAGATTTAATCGCATCATGTGAATGAGAGAAACACGTGCTAGTAAATAGCTCTGTATGTTTACATATAACACCGATGCCCCAGCATGAGCTCATACCTTGCAAAAAAATGTGAACTATTAAAAAGTCCATCATAGGCGATGAATTATTTCTGATTTAGAGAATAGAACTACAAGTGGTAGAAGGACAAAACGCAGATATAATGAAGGCATGAAAAACTGCCCAGGGTACAATGGGCATTGTCCCCTCTGCATCCCTCATTACCAGAGGTGTTGAAGCAACTGAAGGGTGAGCAGCTGTCAGTGATAATGTAAAAGGAATCCCTCTACAACACTCCTCCCCCACAGAAAATAAAAATACCACTAGTCTTAAAAGAAACATCTACTCTGCTCATGGTATTTATTGAGAGCCTCTGGAGCCCGACGGTCTAGACAAATTCCTTCTCTACCACTTGTGGCTGTGCAATGTTGGGTACAACTATTCTGGCCTCAGTCTCATAGAGTTGTTATGAAGTTCAATTAAACTAATAGTTACAGAACCCTTAGAAAGTGCCTGGAATGTGGGTATCATTCAAAAATGCTAGCTACTGGAGTGCCTAGGTGGCTCAGTCAGTTAAGCATCTGACTGCTGATTTCAGCTCGTGTCATGATGTCACGATTTGTGAGATCGAGCCCTGCGTTGGGCTCACCCTAACATGGAAACTGCTTAGGATTCTCTCTCTCCCTCTCTCTCTCTGCCCCTCTCCCCACTCCCCTCAAAATAAGTAAATAATTTTTTTAAAAAATGCTAGCTGTCATCTTTATTATTACTTTTCTCCCATTTTTCCTTTCATGCTGGTAATGATCTTTATAAAATGCAAATCTGTTGTCATTGTCACTGAAAGGAAAAAAAAAGAAAACAACCATCCTAATGTAACCTATAAAGATCTGGAAGATGTGGCCCCCATCTCTTCTCCAGCCTCATTTTTAAGCTCTAACTTTAGCAGAATCAAGGCTCCGCTGGCTTGATAGGATAAATACCATCAGTTAGGATTAATGAAAACATAAGTCCTGCTTTCTAATGGGATAACATAACAAAAACATTATTTTTGGTCAGACATTACATATAGGTATAAATTAATGAAATAAGGGAATAATACTTGCTAATAAGTATTTAGTACTTACTATTCCAAACTCTATTCCAAAACTATAGGTATTTTACATACATTCCCATTCAATCTTACAACAATGCCGTGAAGAGTAATATTCATTTTACCTGCACTTCATTGATGAGAGAGGCCAGGTAGTAGATCTGTTGTCACAGACCAACAAGTAGTAGAACAGGCCTGTGAGTTACCTGCACCTGAACCCTTCCTCATTATGTCTGCATTTAGTGCCTGTCAGCTACCAGGCTGTGCTAAGCGTTTTGTCTGTATTAATGTCATGTATACATTATTATCTCTGTTTTATATTAAGAAACGGGTGTACAAAGAGGTCATGTGTGTTTCCCATGGTCTTGAAGCTAACAGCAGCTAAACCAAGATTTGAACTCAGGTCTGTGTAAGTCTAAAAATAAGGTCTTTTACCATCATTCACCATCACTGCACTGTACTTTAAAATGCTACTTCAGGGGCACCTGCATGGCTCAGTTGATTAAGCATTGGACTTCATTCAGCTCAAGTCACGATCTCATAGTTCATGAGTTCAAGTTCCACATTGGGCTCACTGCTGTCAGCACATAGCCTGCTTCAGATCCTCTGTCTTCCTGTCTCTCTGCCCCTCCCTCATGCACTCGCACTCTCTCTCTCTCTCTCTCTCTCTCTCTCTCTCTCAAATAAACATTAAATAATAATAATAATAATAATAATAATAATAATATTCTACTTCAAATTAGCCCCAGGCTACTTGGTAATCCTAGTGAATCACTTCCAATGTGCATTTATTTTTTGAAAACATTTCATTATGCTATAAAAGACCAAAAAAACCCAAACGGGTTGGATGAAACCCATAGTTTGCATCAAATAGAGATAAGTATGTAATAAGTGGAGCCCATGCATGTTAAACATAAGTATAACTGGGCACTATATATTCATGATACACCATATATATGAGACACAAAATACCCCTGATAGACAGGAAGTGCTCAATATCTTTGACATCTTAATTCCACCACTGATTAGTGAAACCCGTGCCCATGTATTTTTTGCCCAAGGAACACAAATAAAACCCAAAGCTGTTTAGCAGGCTAACTGGCCAGCTATAACTATGAACAAGTATACTTTCTTCTCATCAATACGAGAAAGCAATTGTGTGTCATTGGCCCAGGGCACCTTCTGTCTGTGGGTCTCCTTGCTGCAACCACATCTCTGGTCTTCAAAACCACACCATCAAGTGGGGACGGCTGACATGGACAAATTGAGAGAGGAGATCTGAATATTGCCTATCCCATGACTCATGTGGTGCGATCCTTCCACATGCTTGCACCATTATCTTAAGCATGTTAACTTACCTATCTCCTTCCCCTTGAATTCTTACAATATGTTTTAAAATGATATTACAAACCAGAGAGGTCAAGCATCCTAATCTGGTCTGTGAGTCTTTCTGTCCCAAGACCTCTGGGATGGATAGCTTGCTGGTAATGTATCAAAGGCTATAATTCCACCAACGTAATTTCCTACATGATGTCCATAAAAGGAAATGTGGTCCACAACAGCAGCCAGTGTAAATTCCAGGCAGGAAGACTGAGTCTTAGGAAATTTTAGGCTCTCTCTTTACCTCTTCTTTTTCACTCACCTTGCGTCAGCCAGAGTTGCTCGCGCCACAGCCCAGGCTGCAACAAATGCTGCCGGGAACCCTGTAATCAAAAAGGGATTCAGGGACCATACTTGCTTTAAGATTAAAGGAATTTTTCATCTCATACCCAGCACACATAAAAATATACTACTAAAAGTTGAGAGAGGAAAATAGACATGAAAAAATATGGGTATATCAACACAAAATTCTTCTTAGTTTTCCTCTTGACCCCCCTGAGAAATGAGCCAGGTACATTGCTGTCATTTGCCCCTGAGAGTGTGAAGATTTGAAGGTTGGCCCAATGTCCCCTTGAGGGATGTAGGATCAAGCCATATGGGGAGAAGTTCCTGGAGTCAGAAGCAGGTAGCAGTTGGAGCTTTGGACTTTGATTCTTGCCAAACTGATAGCTACAAGCCTTCACGGAGGAATGAAGCCACAGACTTCATGAGATGCTACAGGGAGGCTATTATTGTAAAAAATTAGAGCTTTGCCATTCTAAATGTGCAAGCCATTAGAGAAGCTATACTAGGAAGTTTTAATCTGTGTAGCCTCTTCTTTTGAGGGGGGTTCATGTTGGCTCAAGACAAGCATATGTATGCATTAAGACCATAGCGAAGGGTGAACCCTATGTTTCTTTGAGGCTTTGAGTGCTAAAATATGTGTCCTTCATAAATGATAAACACCTCGTGAGCTTGCAATGTCAAATCTATTACACTCACTTTCCATAAGTGTATAAAGTGTGCCCACAGTAAAGGCTGACTGTTCAGTCCATGTTATAGTTGATTAGACTCTGACATCACAAGAAAAATCACAAACCATAACTTTTATGGAACATGACAAAACAGGACCAAAGGCTTGGATGGACAGCTTCTCATTCTGTGGAATTTATGAAAGTGGTTTGAAGAAAGGAAAGACAGAGCATAATGAAAACATTGCAGAAGTTAGGAAGCACTTTACAAGGGGAGAGAAAAAGTTTTAATCTAACTTAAGACATTTTTATTAAACACAATATTAAATTCTTTACTTTTAATAACACATTTGTGGGCGCCTGGGTGGCGCAGTCGGTTAAGCGTCCGACTTCAGCCAGGTCACCATCTCGCGCTCCGTGAGTTCAAGCCCCGCGTCGGGCTCTGGGCTGATGGCTCAGAGCCCGGAGCCTGTTTCCGATTCTGTGTCTCCCTCTCTCTCTGCCCCTCCCCCGTTCATGCTCTGTCTCTCTCTGTCCCCAAAATAAATAAACGTTGAAAAAAAAAATTAAAAAAAAAAAACACATTTGTAATTTTTTGAGTTTTCCTTTTTAGCAAAAAAGTGAAAAAGAATAGGTTCAGATGAAGAAAAATGCCATTAAAAGTGAAAATAAGATGGTGCCCTGTAATAGAGAAAGTTTTGGCCTCCCTGCTGATCATCTCATTGAATTTAACCTCAGCACCGCAGCCTGACTGTGTGGTTATTTAATTTTATAACTCCATATTCCAATTTTATTTATTGCTTGCATACAACATCTAAATTTCAAATTCTATGTTCCAGAAAATTGTTTTTATCAAAATAGATCTACCCAGGAGGCACCTGGGTGGCTCAGTCGGTTAAGCTTCCAACTTCAGCTCAGCTCATGATCTCATGGTTGGCAAGTTCGAGCTCTGCGTCAGGCTCTGTGCTGACAGTTCAGAGCCTGGAGCCTGCTTGGGATTCTATGTCTCCATCTCTCTCTCTCTGTCCCTCCCCTGCTCACACTCTGTCTCTTTATCTCTTTCTCAAAAATAAATAAACAAAAAAAAATAGATCTACCCAATTCTGATTATTTCTTAGGTTCAGTTCACATATTTTATCTATCTCTCCATCCATCTATCTACTCATCTACCTATCCATCCATCCATCCAACCATCCTTCCAACCATCCACCCAGTAAGCATTTATTAAGTGCCCATGTATGTGTCAAGGATTATTCTACTTTCAGAAAATAAAACAATAAACAGATCAACAATATTCCCATTTTTCTGAGGCATATTCTGTAGGGAGATGCAAAATCAATAACATAACTTCAGTTATCAGTCAGCACCCTGAGGAGGAAACAAGAATGATGCTGTGTAATGAAGACAGCCTGGCCCCTTCTGCCAGGGTGGTTCAAAGAGCCCTGACATAGCTCTCTTTACTGTTCTGCTGCCTTGGCTATTTTAAAAAAGTGTCTGCCTTTGATCAGAATTTTCACATTTTCTCATTTACAGGTCTTTATCTTTTGCTTCCTTTACAATCTCCCAATCAAGCAATTTCCTGAATAATGTTCTATACACATCGATCAAGGACGATTGACCTGGAAATCTGCTTTAGATGATCATTATAACAAATATCTTCTATCAGACACTATGTCTTCATGAAATTACTTTCTCATCCTCTTGGAAGACTCTCACTCACAATGCTAGCACAGAGGCAACCATGGAGGAAAAAAGAATTGAAACCATTTTGGGGATTTAAGGATTTTTGATTACCAATCTTGGTATCACATCATTACATAATTGGGAACACACAAGTATAGAGGAAAATGCTTGAAATTCAGATGTTATTTTGAGTCTGAATGCCAATTTAAGTAAATTTACTGTAAATTCAAATGTTACTCAATATATACATTTACCTTGAGAGCTGAGTAATCTTCATAAAATGTCAGTATAAATCAGTGACTCTGAGAGGGAAGCAATCTCTGGTCTAAAAATAAGTAAACACAGGGGTGGAGGGCACCTGGGTGGGTCAGTAGGTTGAGTATCTGACTCTTGATTTCAGCTCAGGTTCTTGAGTTCAAGCTCAAGGTTCCTGAATTCAGCTCACAGTTCTTGAGTTCAAGCCCTGCATTGGGCTCTATGCTGACAGTGCAGAGCCTGCTTATGATTCTCTCTCCCTCCCTTTCTCTCTGCCCCTCCCCTGCTCATGCTCTCTGTCTCAAAATAAATAAATAAACATTAAAAAATTAAAAAAAAAATAGACATGGGTTCTCATGTGGCTCCATTACTATTTCCCTTTAAAATGAAGTTTTGGGGGCACCTGGGTGGCTCAGTCAGTTGGGCAACAGACTACACTCAGGTCATGATCTCACAGATCATGAGTTCGAGCCCTGCATCAGGCTCTGTGCTGAGAGCTCAGAGCCTGGAGCCTGCTTTGGATTCTGTGTCTCCCTCTCTCTCTCTGTCTCTCCCCCACTCACATTCTGTCTCTGTCCCTCAAAAACAAATAAAAATTTTAAAAAATTTAATAATAAGAAAATTAAAAAACTAAAATGAAGTTTGGGATTAATTAACAGTAGTCAAAAATGCTTAGGCAATTAAAACCTTTCTTCAAATAAAAACTTGGGCAGCAGTCCACACATAAAACAGGGAGGCTTTGAAGCCAAAGGCAGTAAATAGGATCTTCTCGTCTTGGTCTATGGAGTTTCATCTCGTTTTGGATACTTCATAGGCTTCATAAAGCCCTGCCTCATCCTTATTCTCCTCCTGTGGTGCCAGTACTATTTTACAATAGTAAAATAGGTTGATCATAAAGTGTAAAGTTAGTTCTAAAAATTAGAGACCCATCGTGACATGGGATTCCTGGAATAGCTATAGACACACAATATCTTAATAACCAGAAATCTTGATTCCCCAGGGAATCTAGTCAACATATTGACTGCTCAGACATGAAGTTCCAGGCTATACCTCCAGTTCCCGCTCTACCCACCACAGAATGCTGGAATTCCATTTCCATTGCCTATCTATCTCTTTAAGGAACTTAGAAGTGGCTCCATTATGATTTTGGCAGAATCGTTCTCAACTCTGAGGAGATTTGAAGCCAATACTGAATGAGCACATCTTTTTGTCAGGAAAACTGCAAAACCTTTGAAAGTCTTCCATTGTTACAAGGAAGAGTGTCTACTTCTGAAACTTTAGAAGAGCTACCTCCTCCTGAGATGGAATTGCTACAGGAAACAGAAGAATTTTTTTTTAAGTATATTTTATTATTGGGGCGCCTGGGTGGCTCAGTCGGTGAAGCGTCCGACTTCACCTCAGGTCATGATCTCACAGATCGTGAGTTCGAGCCCCATGTCAGGCTCTGTGGTGACAGCTCAGAGCCTGGAGCCTGCTTCAGATTCTGTGTCTCCCTCTCTCTCTGCCCTTCCCCTGCTCATGCTCTATCTCTCTCTCTCAAAAATAAATAAAAACATTTAAACAAAATTAAAATATATATATACTATTACTAAATATATATAAAAATATATTTTATTATAACCCAAAAAATGCAGTAATGTACTGCAGGAAAGGACAGTCTGAAATAAAAGAGTTACAATAAAAAAGAAAATATGCTTACTGAATTAAATATTGCCAGTGGGCAGAAACTGTAGATCAAACTGGTGGAAATGAGGTGAAATCTTAAAACCAGGTGAACCCACTGAGATAAACCTACATAATCGCTATGTACGGAAATCTAAACTTGACTATAATTTGTTTTCTTTTAAAGAGGGAATCATCCACATAATTTTAATTTTTTTTAATGTTTACCCATTTCTGAGAGAGAGAGAGAGAGAGAGAGAGCACCAGGGAGGAGCAGAGACAGAGAGAGGGAGACATAGAATCCGAAGCAGGCTCCAGACTCTAAGCTGCCAGTACAGAGCCCGACGTGGGGCTTGAACTCACAAACCATGAGATTGTGCACTGAGCTGAAGGCGGAAGCTTAACCAACTGAGCCACCCAGGCGCCTGTAATTTTAAATGGTTAGGAGTAAAACTTCAAATTACATCTGAAAACCTTGTTCTGTACCTTACATAAGGTAAGGCTAAAATATAGATCTTTTATTGACTCTGTTAAATGTAATTTTAAGACAATCTTCAGTAGAAATAATAAGGGAATTAAAAATCATGAAGGATGGGAGAAATGGCATTTCTAGATTTTTAATTGTGTAAAGGTATCATTTGACTACAAAAATAATTTTTGTGGAGAACAGGTCTTATAGATCAAATATTTTGAATATAATACATCTGATAAGAACAGGCAAACACAAAACAAAATGACCTACTGGTCAGACTGCATGTTTCTTGTGTAGTCTTTACGACATATCTCTGTATTTCAATTATATTTACTGCCAACTGGATAATCAAAAAATATTTGCTGAATTGACATCAGCTTATACAGACTATTCTCCTGATTATTTTCAGAGAATACAGAATATGAAAATATTCTACATGAAAGCTTGGCAAAAGAGACATGACTAATTGGTAGAACCAGGATAGGTGATCTTATATGATAATATGTACATCCTGGCACCTTATCTAACAGTTGAAAATTAAGAATGGTTGCTACTAGGGCCACCTGGGTGGCTCAGTCAGTTGAGTGTCTGACTTCAGCTCAGGTCATGATCTCACGGTTCGTGAGTTCGAGCCCCACATCGGGCTCTGTGCTGACAGCTCAGAACCTGGAGCCTGCTTCCAATTCTGTGTCTCCCTCTCTCTCGGTCCCTCTCCCCCTCATGCTCTGTCTCTTTCTCTCAAAAATAAATAAACATTAAAAAAAATTTTAAAAAAAGAATGGTTGCTACTATAGAGGTAAATGACTACATTCAATAAGGATGAATGAATAAGACTGATACCTTTTCAATATAGAATTAAATATATAGAAAAATAATGCATTCATGAAAGAACAAAATGGAACCAAGAATAAAGCGCCCAGTTTATGAGAAAACTGAAGCAGGAATAGGAAAAATTACAAATGTGGTTGGTTGAAAGAAAAGAAATATAGTCATCATCAGAATCTGCCTTTACTCCTTGGTATACATCTTGTTTTGTGATGAAGATGTGTAAAAACAGTTATTTTAAACATTTGCCTTCAATTTACTAAAGGTCAGATATGGCATCTCTTCTTCTTTAGACTGTAATTTCCTTCCTTTCCAATGTATTCTTAAGAATCAGCAAAATCAATGTAAATGATAGAGCTGCACACATCACCATAATGTGAGCAATAATGTTCTGAGTATTTATTTAGCCGAAGAGAGCTTAAAGTTATAATGACTGGGTCCAATGAGTAACATAGGAATCCAAGCAAGTTCTCTTCTCTAATGAAGCTCATAAGTCACATCAGTGGAAGAAAGCACAAAATTGGATTCACTCTAAACTATTTCCAGCCAAGGATCCTGCAAAGCAGCTATAATGTTGTTGATCATTGTTTTTCTTATAGGAATTTAGAAAAATGAGTCAGAAATAAAAATGATATTTTCCAATCAGACTGTCAGCACTAAGGGAAAAATAGTCTATCACTTAAATGGTCTTAGTCATTTACTTCATTAAATGGTAACTGCATTTAAGTATTGGAGAGAGATTTTTAAAATATACACCTATAATTATATATGCCCTAGACTAGAGCATTTTTTTTATTATATATTATTGAACAAGCAAGACGAGTGACAATGAGGAGAGCATTTTGAGGGTTAGAGCATTTTTTTTAATGGAGTTGCAAAGAGAGTCAGAAGGTAGACTAAGTGGAGAACTGTAATTCTATAACGATTGGTTATTAGTGTTTCAGACTGTGGTTAAGTGCACATGACATATCCATGTAAAATGCTTTTCAAAGAAAGTTTCCATGTGAAGCCTACTTGATTTCATGTTTGTTCTTAAACCATTTGATAAAAAGAAGATTTCAAGTAATGATGCTTCTCTACTGTAGGTATAATTCCAATGTCAAAGTTCTTGTGGACAATTGAATAAGAGTTGTAAAGGAAGGTATGAAATTCATACTTGCATGGAAGCTCACTGGACTGTTTTTTAAAATTCTGTTTTTTTAAAATTTTTTAATGTTTATTTATTTTGGAGAGAGACAGAGACAGAGACAAAGACAGAGCATGAGTGAGAGGGAGAGGGGCACAGAGGGAGACACAGAATCCCAAGCAGGCTCCAGGCTCTGAGCTGTCAGCACAGAGCCCGACACGGGGCTCAAATTTACAAACTGCAAGATGTTGATCTGAGCCATAGTTGGAGGCTTAACCAACTGAGCCACCTAGGTGCCCCTGACCAAATAAGAGTTAATAGGGGAGTTAACCATCAAACCAATAAGTAAACAGAGAAAAAAGAATTTATTATGTGTGACCAGTGGTGTTGAAATCCAAAATATAAAATGTAACTCAGACAAATGTTTTCTATCAACACCTTTACCAACTTCTAGTAATTATGTACGTACACAGATGTAATTTTGATTTGAAGGCAAACTGCCAAACACTATTGAGGAAATTTCCAAAGTACTCTAAAAAAATAAAATGGCATCTTTTTTTTATTTTTAGTAACTGCTAGTCAAAGGGAGAGCTTTAAAACAGACAAGCTGCCTTCAGAAATAAAACTTTATTCACAACAATCATTTCATAATAAATGAAATTTTATAGTAAATAGACCCTTTGCTTTCTTAAATCTTATTCCTTAACTAGCAGGAAATTCAATATTCCTTACTTCACATTTTCAAATGTTAAAACAATATTAAGGCAAAACAAGCAAAGAAATATTCTTATTTTGGACAAGGAAAAAAAAAAGCCCTTCAAATGTAATCTTGAACCACCTAGTTAATTTTTTTCCAATGCCAAGCACCTCATAATCTGAATATTAAAACAGCAATTGAAGGACGCCTGGGTGGTTCAGTCGATTACGCGTCCAACTCTTGATTTCGGCTCTGGTCATGATCTCACGGTTTGTGAGTTCAAGCCCCACATAGGGCTCTGCACTAACAGTGAGGAGCCTGCTTGGGATTCTCTCTCCCTCTATCTATGCCCCTCCCCAACTCTCGTGTGTGTGTGTGTGTGTGTGTGTGTGTGTGTGTGTGTGTGAGTTCTCTCTCTCAAAATAAATAAGCTTTAAAAAAATAAAATAAAATAACAATTGAGATCTGCAATTGTTGATCATGATGTTTCTTAATTGCAGCCACATAAGAGTTTTAAGTTCTCTTAAATTTGGACAAAAAAGCAACATCCTTTTCCCCATGTCATGTTGAGTTAGTGCCTAGTCCAGTCTAGTACTGATAAGGCATTTTTGGAATGTGAGCTGATTATCCTTTTTTTTTAATTACATATGCATAAAGTAATTTGAATATTTTTTTCCAAAAGATATGATAAGTCCACATAATTAGCTTGTAATTTGTATCATTAAATGCAATGGAGATGCAATCTCATAAATTCCTTCCTGGAATTCTCACCAACTTACCAATGATGTATCAGTACAGCTTCGAAATTTAAAAATCAAAATATTTAGAATGAAATTATTGCTAAATCAGGACATTGACATAAGACATGAGCATAGCAGTTCTAAATGTCTATGGCTAACAATGTGGTCTTTTATATTCCTGCCAAAGAATTCTCTCAAGAATCTGGCCTAAGAACACCAACCATAAGTTAAACACGAAAAGTTTCTTACCACTGAGGGGCTTACAGAGTTGATCTTAATAACTTTCCCCAATGAACAACGGAAGAGAAAAAAGGAGGTATAAAGATAAAATGGGGAGAGATTTCAGGAAAATGGCTGAAAGTATGCTAAGGATAGGCTTAACAGAAAGTCCTCAAATCCACAATCCAGTTTAAATGGAAAGGAGACATAAATACCTTACCCCAGCCTATCAAGGTGAAGCCCCACAGGTATTTGGTGTCCGAAAAGAATGCCACAAAGATTAGACTATGCAGGTAGAGACCTTCCACCAAGATCCAATAGTAATTTGTAGCCAAGAAGTAAATAAACATCACAACAGCAATCTTGCACCCAATCTGTTACAAATAAACCAGAATTGCATCATATTAGAACCCTAAACTGTGCTAGATGCAATATCAGACCACCAAAAAGCAGTTCTCCATTTCTTTTTTATAATCTATTTCCTGTGTCTAGGAAAGCCAAGACTGCTGGAAGAGAGAACAAAGTTATTTTAAGACCGCATCTCTAAGACTATGGGCTTGATTCTATTTTTTAAAAATAAGATTAGAAGTTACCAGAAAATCACTTTTCCTTAATTTCTCCTGTTTATCAAAATAAGACTTAATCATCAGAAAAAATTAGGAAAGTACAGAAGAGCATAAAGAAGAAATATTAGCCATTATTCTACCATAAGTTTATTTTATTCTTGTCTTTTTTATGCCCCAGAAGTCAATGGCTAAAACAATAAACATTTAATACATCTTATGTTTCTGTGGACTGACTACGTGATTCTGCTGATCTGGGCCAGGTTCAGCTAATCTTGGCTGGGCTCACTCACAGAGCTCTACCCTCGACTGTCACACTACCACGTCTACTTCATCCTATTGGATAAAACAAGTCACAAAGCCAGCCCAGAATCAGAATCAGGAGGGCGTACAAAGTTACAGGGCAAAGGCCAAAGACACAGAAAAGGTATCAATTCATACCATCAAGGCATATAAACTAGTATCCTTGATTTCCAGATATATTGCATCAGTGATCTAATTAACTGAATTATTGTGTAATATACTGTGTGATTCTGGTCACTAAATAACCCCGGGACATTTGAGAACAGAATCAAGTACTCTGTCGTCTTATATTTGAACAAGTCTTTGAGTCTACAATAAAGAAACTAAATGTTGTGGGCTTTTAAATCCCACACTTCTGGTTTTGCAAGTGGGCTTTTTACTTGGTAAAAAGTATCGCTAGAAGCCATACACCAAATGCACTCCAGTCATGTGATTTTTGATGTTTCCATGCCAGAATGTTCTGGAGGAAAGAGCCCAAACACTTTTAATAGTCTAAGATGATGAGTAACTAGGTGTGAAGCTTGAGGACAGAACTGAGGTAGTAAACATTATACAAATTGGTCATCTATTTTTGTTAACTCAGAGATGAGATAAGCCCAAACAAGTTAATATTTAGTGGAGTATAAAATGTAACATATCTATAACGTTACATAAATCAGTAATGAGAGAAGATGGTGAAAACACTTACATACTGTGACTTGTCCACAGAAGGCACTCCCATGAAACTCTGCAGGTCACCCTGCATTACCAGAGACTGCAGCTCCTTTACTCCTATGTGAGTATGGACCACTTTGTCCTTGACGAAGATGCTTACGGCTCTCAGCATGAAAGACACAAACAGGTGCATGTGGATATAGTTCCTAGTGCAATGTAATCGTCTATGGAAAAAAAAAATATTCAGTACTTCGATTTGGATGAAATTAGAAATGGGGAAAGAAAATACATAAATGAGCCCACACTCCTCCACAAAAGGATAAAATATAGTACGCGTGAACAAAGACAGAAACCCATTACTATATATTTCCAATAGAAACAACTGGGATCAAAAACTAAAATGTAACTTTTTGAGATAATGATTTCAAATTTATCCTGATCTGCTACCATGTTTCTTCTGATCTAGCAGTTAATTATTATACTATATTATACTGTAGCATTATACTAAACTATATATTAAAGTAATAAATGGTTAATGAAGAACCATTTTGAAAAGGGATAAATATTAACAGTGGAAGTTTCACATTTTCAATACATTCTCTGTAAGAAAAAGTAAAATATTTTGCTAGCATTACACAACTTTATTTCCAAGTAATGTTAAAGAGTAAACAAGCTTACTTTAATAGAAAAAGCTTTGAGTTCATAAAAGAATCTTAGACACAAGTCATAACTTACTTAGAAGTAGGTACCGTACTACTAATTTCCTTTGCAAAAAGCTAACTCCAAAAGAGACCTTTTTTTTTTAAGTTTGATGGAGAAAAAAAAACGACACTTAGGAAAGGATGTATAATCTGGCTCAGCTCTACCATTGCTTGACTGTGAGACAGTACAATCTCCCTGTACAATGGACACAATCCTACTTCTCTTACAGAAAAGACAAAGTACACAAAGGTAAGGTAGCAAGACATTTTTAATCCAATAACATATTTTTATATTTCATAACATAGGAGGGGGTAGGCCAAATAAGAATGAGCTAAATTTGGACATTTTGGAAGTGTTTTGTTAGGATGTTAGGGACATGTATGCATGTCCTTTCTGCCCAGATAGTCCTCCTCACTGATTCTTTTGGGAGAGTTTGTTCACAAGCAAGTGGGATTTGACCAGATAGGTTTTCAGGTGTCTGTGGAAACCACTGACTGAGAATAGTGCCATCAGAGTGTATAAATAGGTATTGACTTTTAGAAGACTCAACATGATTTACTATCCTATAAAAAAGTACTTTGTTTTGTGAGACAGAGTTTCTCAAATTTTTGTATACCATTCTATACAATACAGCAGCTGTATAAAAAGTACTATCTAGGGGCGCCTGGGTGGCGCAGTCGGTTAAGCGTCCGACTTCAGCCAGGTCACCATCTCGCGCTCCGTGAGTTCGAGCCCCGCGTCGGGCTCTGGGCTGATGGCTCAGAGCCTGGAGCCTGTTTCCGATTCTGTGTCTCCTTCTCTCTCTGCCCCTCCCCCGTTCATGCTCTGTCTCTCTCTGTCCCAAAAATAAATAAACGTTGAAAAAAAAAATTTAAAAGTACTATCTAGAAAGAATTTGTTAAATAGAGTAATAAATTACCATGTAAATTGAAGAATTACTACTTAGTGATTTGTATCCTCCCGAAATTCTATGTAGCTTTTTTCCTCATAAATATTCACCTATTATTCTAAACAACCAGAGCTACACTTAGTATAATGGAATGGACTCTGGATAGGAGTTGGAAGATGAAGGTTCTGTTTCCAACTGGACCACCTGTGACCTTGTGACCTTGGACACTGAGCTTCAGTTACTTGGTCTCTAAAATGGGATAATACTGCCAAGCCAATTTCACAAGGCTGTTTTGAGAACCCCTTCATAATTTTACAGATCTTATTGTGTTCCCTTTCTACTTTAAAATTTTCATTAGCTCCCTATTCTCTACCCTTACAAGACAAAACTCAAAGCCTTTGACAAGGGCCTGCAAAACCCAGTGCCACTAAATCTAGTTTCTTCCTGGCCATTACTACCTGGCCACTTCTCCCTATGAATCAAATGCTGCCTTCACATTGGACTCTTCTGTGTTCCCAGCATCTACTCTGCTCCTTCCTGTCTCTGAGTTTTGCACATTCCGTTCCCATCTTCTGGAATGTACTGAATTCCTTCTCATCATTGCAATATCAGTTCACATGTCAGTTGTTCTGGGAAGTCTCTCTCTGTCATCTAGTCAGTTTTGGACTAGCTCCTTGGTGTTCCCAATACCCTTTATAAAAACCTGTATTATAGTATTAATATTATTTGATTTGATAATCATTTAATGAGTCAGTCTCTCTCAATGGTGTATATACTCCTTTTCCAGTCTGCAACATATCTTAACTTGTCCTCCATCAGTACTAAAAAGAGTCTATCATATGGTAGAGAAAAATGCTTGTTGAGTAGATGGACTAGTGAATCAATAAAGAAAAAGTTTTGAAAATGTAAACTATACTACCATAATAGGAGTAATCATTTTAGAAGAAGTAGTTGGAATATTAAACTAGTCATTTATTTATTAATTCAACAAATATTTACTAAGCACCACTACATATCAAGTACATTGCAGCTACTAAGAATGCTACAATGAGCAAACAGAAAAAAATTAATGCTCTTATGTAGCTTTACATTCTAGAGGAAGAGATAAATAAAAAGATAAGTAAAACATCAGATAGTACATTAGATAATGATAAATCAAAAGAGAAAGACAAAACAGGAAATACATATGAGAAGTTTCAAGGAAGAGGGGATTGTAAGATGGTCAGAAACAAAGCATAAAACATTTTGTTTTTTAAATATGTCATCTACCTTCATCTCTTTTCCCACACACAACTTAGCACTAAATTCTTAAAATTGTATTGTCTTAATGAATGTACCTCAAAACCTTCCATTTCTAGCCAATCCTCAAAGCCACTGCTGTTGGCCAGGCCACAATCTTCTTGTCCGGAGTTATTCTGACAGCCTCTTCCAAATGAGCTTCCTATCTTGCTCCCCACCAACTCACCCTCCACCTTACACGTGACCTTTCATGTCACTCTTCGGCTTAAAATTCTTCAATGGCTCCTCATTGGTCTTTGGATAAAATTCAAATTTCTTCATATAACCTTCAGGTCTCAAAACATCCTCAACCATGCTTACCTCTCCTGTCTCACTCACTGCCCATCACTTACCTACACCACAACTCTGAATTCTCAAATATTCCATGCTTTTCTTGATATAATCTTTTCTTGATATAAACTCTGTTCCCCAATGGTCCTTTTTGGTTAAATCTTATTTATACTCCTGTGTCTTTTGAGATTTCACTTCATTTGGGAGGTCTTTCCTCCTCTTCTTACTCTGCCCTCCCAAATTACCATCCACCACCTGAATCATAGCACTTCTCACACTGTATACTAGTTGTTTTCTCAGCTACTTGAGTCACAAACTAGCTGCAAACATCATGAGTATACCTTTCCCATACATGCTGTGCACTGTTTAATCTCCATACTGGTGCTCAAAATTTTGTATTTTTTTAGATTAAGTTGAATTGAATCGGGCAAAAGTCCCAGTGGATAAAAAATAAACCACAACAGAAGCAATAAATATGATTATCTCATCAGATAATTTGGAAAATCATTTTAAATGAATTTCTGTCCAATGGCACGAAACTCATTTGGGAAAAATGAAGTCTTTGCACCAGGAATGAAAATTTTTGTAACTCATTCTGCTCCACTTTGCATGCATCACTTTGCAAACAATACACTGTCCTGCAGATCTGTTGGCTTACTGGTTTCATACTGCTTTGATGCTTTTAAAGATTTTTTTAGTTTTTAAACAATAACAAAAACAAAAACCCTGAATTTCCTCATAAAAATAAATCTTCAAAGCCAAATGATATCATAACACTAGGCTGAATTCAAAAACTTGCACTGAGAAAAATATTTGGGGGCAGAAATTTTGACACCTTTACATCTTCTATACATAGGAAACAGAACCTGTCCCTTCACAGAAAAAGGGGTAAGGGATCACTCACCTGAAGTAACCAATGATGAGAATAGCCACAGCCAAGGAACCGAAGGAGACAGAATATCCAATTGTGTACATGACATAGAGGCGTTCGAAGAATTCTTGCTGAAGGGGAAGAGATTTAATTAGAAAAACAGGTTTCAACAAATAAGTAGATATGCATAAACTTAAGAATCATGTCTTCCCCTGTTTACAGACAGGCAATGTGTTATCCCATTTACAGAACATTGATTATCCATCTGATCTTTCTTTTACTTCCTAAATTCAAGTCAGAGTTAAAGATATAATAATCTTTGACATTTCTTGCTTAATTGAGGGAAAATTAAATGTTGCAATATTTACTTCATGAATTTTTGTGCTGTCCACTTTAATTAGTGGAGCTGTATATCTAATGTGATATTTGAAGTAAACGAAACACATATTACCTGGCTATTCTAAGAGGAAACTGGTAAAAATGATGTCATTTTTGGAACACTATTTCTAGCTTTCTTTAAGTTTTTATTGAGCTGTCATTTACATAAAATACAGATCTCAAATGAACTGTTTGATGGGTTTGACAAACCAGCTGTGCTGTGCCCCTTGAGAGTCCAGAAACCCACCCACCATTCATCCCCTTGTAACTACTGTTCCAATTTCTGTCATCACAAATTGGCATCATCTGTTCATGTACTTCATGTATTTTTTGACCGTTCTTAGACTAAGAATTAAATAGTATATACTGTTTTTGTCAACATACTGTTTTTTATATTCACCAATATTGTTACATGAATCAATGATCCATTCCTTTTTAATTTTTTTAAATGATTATAAATTCACAAAAACTGGAAAAGATTTTAAAAAACGTCCAATGTATCCTTCACTCAGTATCCCCTAGCGGTTACATCTTAACGTAATTATACTAAAATGTCAAAGGCAGAAATTTGACATGGTGCAATGTGTGTGTTTATAATTCTACATCATTTTACCACATATGTAAATTTTTGTAACCAGCAATGCAATCAAGATACAGAACTATTCTACCACCACAGAGTGGGGTCCCTTAGAGTCACATTTACCCCCCTCTTCCCCAGCATCCCTGACACCTAGCAACCATTAATCTGTTTTCTACCTTTATAATTTTGTCATTTCAGGGGCGTCTGGGTGGCTCAGTCGGTTAAGCCTCCGACTTCGGCTCGGGTCATGATCTCACGGTCTGTGAGTTCAAGCCCCCGTTCAGGCTCTGTGCTGACAGCTTAGAGCCTAGAGCCTGCTTCAGATTCTGTGTCTCCCTCTCTCTCTGCCCCTCCCCAACTCGTGCTCTGTCTGTCTCTCTCAAAAATAAATATTTAAAAATTTTTAAGTTTAAAAAATTTTGTAATTCCATGAATGTTATAGAAATAGAATCATACAGTGTGAGACCTTTTGAGATTGGTTTTTTCACTCAGAGTAATGACCTCAAGATCCATTCAAGCTGTTGCATGTATCAAGTTTGTTCTTTCTTATGCCAAATAGTATTGTATGGTACATATGTAACCTATGTACAGCATTATATTTGAAATGTTCCAAACTTTGTAAACAGCATACATTTGGATCGTGTTTTTTAATAGATTTCTTCAATCTCTGTTAATTGGTATATTTAAACCATTTTTCAAATATAATATTGATATGTTAAGGCTAAGTCCATTATTTTATTTTTTTTGTTTTCTGTTGTTCTATTTTTCATTTCTCTGTTTTATTTTTCCTGCCATGCTGTGGGGTTACTTGAAAATTTTGTAGAATTCCATTTTGATGTCTCCTTTTGTTGTAGGTATTACTGTGTACAGTTTAATGTGGAACTTTTGATTATTGAATGGTTACCTTTCTTCTTTTCTAATTAAGCATTGAATGCTATAAAAAAGCTCTGTTTTTACTGTTTCCCCCAATTTTTGATATATTCAGCTTTGATAATTATTCAGTTTAAACTTTTGCCATGGGTCACATATTTCCAACACATATTGTCAACTGTCTACATATTTTATTTTAGTTGAATTCAATTAGTTCTTTTGTGTTGAGAAAATAGACTCTGTATGATTTTAATCTTGAGATTTATTGACACTTGAAACTTTGGTGTGTAATTTAAAAGAATGTGAATTTTGTAGTGTTTGGCTATTGTATTCTATAAATGTCATTTTTATCAAATTATTTGATTAAATGTGAATTTAATCAATGTGAATGTGAATGTGAATTTTGTAGTGTTTGGCTATTGTATTCTATAAATGTCATTTTAATCAAATTATTTGAAAGATATTCTATGGAAGTTTTTACCTAGTTGTTTTACCAATTACTGACAGAATGGCATTTTTATAAATTCCAATATGATGGGATTTGATGATGTCTCCCTTTAGCTTTGACAATTTTTGTTTTATGAAGCCCCTAGATGCATGCATATTTAGGATTGTTATTTCCTCCTGGCAAATGGATTCTTTTATCATTCTTATATGTCCTTCCACACAGATAATACTGTCTTAAAGTCTACTTAGTCACACTCTTAAATATGGAGAATAAACAGAGGGTTACTGGAGGGATTTGGGGAGGGAGGATGGGCTAAATGGGTAAAGGGCATTAAGGGACCTACTCCTGAAATCCTTGTTGCACTATATGCTAACTAATTTGGATATAAATTTAAAAAATAAAATAAAATAAAATAAAATAATGTGCCTGAAAAAAACCCTGACTATAAACACATTCAGCATGAATTTGTGCTGGGTCTTTACCCATAGATATGTGTCAACCATTTGGGAGGCTACAAGGTCAAATGCAGAGTGAGGAGAAAAGAACCTTTAAAAACAAATAAAATTTTGTTTGGTTAAAAAAAAAAGTCTAGTTAGTCACACCAACTCTCTTATGCTTAAGGTATGCTCTGCATATAACTTATCCCCCCTTTTGATATCAACAAATCTATTATCTTCACATTCATCTGTATCTTTCTATTTAGAGTACATTTCTTTAAGACTGTATATAATTAAGCCATACTTTTATTACCCATTCTGCCTTTTAAGTGACTGTTTACTTCATTTACATTGAATACAATCATTGCTAAGGTTGGGTTTAAATATAACACATTGGTATTTGCATTCTGGATGTCTTACCTTTTCTTCGTTCCTCTACACCTACTTCTTTACCTTCCATTTGGGGAGTGGGGGTCCAATTATTTCTTAAAACTGCACTTGTGTTATTTTTTAGCAATTATGCATCTGGAACTCATCAGAGCCTACATTACATAATATTGAACTATCTCACAAACTGAAGTTTCCAATTGTATACTCAATTTTGCTTCCCAGACTATGTCCCTTTTAGATTTTGTCTACATAATTTATAAACCCTAATAAGAGACTATTATGTTTGCCTTAAGCAGTCAATAGACTTTTAAATGAATTAAATTATAGATACAGATATAAAGATTAGATATGAAACAGCAATAAATAAGAATAGTTTTGTTTATTGATTTAGTCTGTCATTTAAAAAAAATTTTTTAATGTTTATTTATTTTTGAGGGAGAGAGAGAGAGAGAGAGAGCAAGTTGGGGAGGGGCAGAGAGAGGGAGACACAGAATCTGAAGCAGGCTCCAGGCTCTGAGCTGTCAGCACAGAGCCCGACATGAGGCTCAAACTCATGAGCTGTGAGATCATGACCTGAGCCAAAGTCAGACGCCTAACCAACTGAGCTACCCAGGTACCCCTAGTCTGTCATTTTTATCCACATTTATACCCATTCCGGTACCTCTCATTCCTTCCTACCTATCTATGCTCCCGTCTGGTAAAGTTCTTTTTACACTAGAGAACTTTCTTGATTATTTCCTATACTGAAGGTATGAGAAAGATTCTCTCATATTTTTTGTCTGCAATGTATCATTTTCTTACTTTTATCTTAATGCATATGATCACTTTAAAGATGTTATCCCATTGTATTCTGGCCTCCATTGTTTCTGACTAAAAGGCAGGCATCTTTTTTATTGCTATTCCCTTGGATATAATGTGCCATTTTTCTTTTTCTGCTTTTAAGATTTTCTTTTTTTTTTTTAAGTTTACTTATTTATTTTGAGAGAGAGAGAGAGCAAGTGGAGGAGGAGTAGAAAGAGGGAGAGAGAGAGAATCCCAAGCAGGCTCCATACTGTCAGCACAGAGCTCGACTTGAAGCTCAAAGTAATGATCCCCTGAGATCATGATCTGAGCCAAAATCAAGAGCCTGACGCTTAACCTATTGAACCACCCAGGCGCCCCTAAGTGCATTGATCCTTTACCATGCTGTATCCAGTATGTTGTTGAATATCAAATGAATTCATTTTTGAACTGAATATTTCAATTTTAGAATTTGTTTTTTTTTTAATTTTTTTTCAACGTTTTTTATTTATTTTTGGGACAGAGAGAGACAGAGCATGAACGGGGGAGGGGCAGAGAGAGAGGGAGACACAGAATCGGAAACAGGCTCCAGCCTCTGAGCCATCAGCCCAGAGCCCGACGCGGGGCTCGAACTCACGGACCGCGAGATCGTGACCTGGCTGAAGTCGGACGCTTAACCGACTGCGCCACCCAGGCGCTCCTAGAATTTGTTATTTTTTAAAGTTTTTATTTATCTGATTTTTCCATCTGTTATGTACCTTTTTCACTAAATCATCTAACATATTTCTAATAGTTATTATTAAGTACTCATCTGCAAATTCCAACATCTGGATCATCTGGGGTTTTTTTCTGCTGTTATTTTTACTAGAGATTTTGGGTTCCTGCCTTATAATTTGTGTTACATTCCAGGCCCCGTAAGTAACTGAATAACAGGTACTAAAGTATATGATGGTAACAGCCTGAAAAGGGCAGGCCTTTTCCTCTGTCAGGGCTCTTTAGGGAGGCTGAGTTACTCTGTTGCTAAGCTGAGTTGAGCTCTGTTGTAGTTTTTTGTTTTATGTTTTTTGTGATTCCTTTTATCCTGGTTTTAGGTTTCGAGAGCAGAATCAAGATTCCTTCAGCAGACCTGGAGATCTTAGCACCAGCAGCCTCTAGTGGCCATTATATGGATTTTAGCACACTTGACATTTTCCAAGCCACAGAACTTGTGCAGCTATTTGAACCATCCGTCAGCATTTTGAGTTGCTAGCGATCTTGCTTTGCTCTCCTGCCCTTCCCTGGCATATGGGCTGTACAATTATGCATCTAGTGAAGGCCCCACGGGGCCTCTGTTCTGTCCTATGCCTTTGGCTAACTGCTGCCTCTCATTCTGAGAGCCCTATACACTCTTGGGGGATTTCCTTTAGCCCACTTGTGCTACCCCCAGCCTTTGGCACACAGCCTCCACACACTCAGTGAGGCCCCATGGGAAACAACTGGTTGCTGGGTGAAAGCTCACTGTGAATGTGGCTCACTTCTTGGAAATCTAAGCCCTCGTGCCAACCCTTGTCTGTTAAAAGTTGGTTTAAAAGCCTGGCTCTTTTCTTTCTGTCCCCTTCGATGGTGTGGTTGTTCTTCTGCTGCTACAAACCCAGCGATAAACAGCAGTCACAGGTCTCTTATAGGAAGGGCTTTCCCACTTGCAGAATTAGGATCATTTAGAGTTCTTGGCATCCGTAGCTCATCATGAGTTATTACAAATTAACAATTTTGCATCTTATTCAATATATTCCTACATCCTACAGCTTCCTACATCCTAACTGGAAACAAAAGATTTTGCCTCTTGTTCCTTTTTAAAAATGTTTACTACATTTTATTATCAATTAATAAAATATTAAAACCTTCTATAGAAAATATTTGGATAATGTGTAAAATATAAAAGAGAGGGGAGGAAAAATCTCCTGAATTCCTACCAACCAAAAAGAAGCATTGTATTTTGTGTATTTATTTTCATGCTATCTCTATGAAGCATTTTCTATTGTTTTGAACATCTACATTCTTAATATACATACAACTTTATTACCTGTTTTTTTTTTCTGTGAACTGTATAACAAAGGAACTTCCTAAGGCCACAAAGTCTTTATAAAAAACATTTATATAAGCTTATTTAACCTTCTCTGGAAGGTGCTTCACTGAAAACTTATATTCTTCAGAATATTCACTATAATAATTAGTGGTTCAATGAACATTTTGTCCATTCAATTCCCCCCAGTCCAAATCTTTATACTCGAACCTTAGACATAACATTATAAGATGAAAGGTTATGACCACTTTGAAGTGTTTTTCATATATATTGCTAAATTGCTTCCCAGAAGTTCATTTAGCCTTTAGAAATGAGATGTATTATATGGTAATTTTTAGAGTATACTACTATTTTAAGTATAATACTCTCAAAAATTTAATAACCTTATGGCTTATCATAAGAGTTCCTTCCCATCTTTTTACTAATAGTAACTGTCTCATTTTGTCAAGCCAACAATAAGGAAATTATTTAAGGAACAAAACAATAGATGTGTAAAATATCTTCATCTTATTTTCCTCAATAAAAATGTTTATTCTTAATGCACACTCTTTTGGTTTTTACTTCTTATTCCTTATAAAAAGCTCTCCTTACAACCATTAAGAATTAATACCTCATAAATAAGTAATATCACTTTGCCCTAGAGTATATCAAAACTTCAGGAGATATCCAGTTTTCTTAGTAGGGGATATTTAGTTTTCTTAAGTTTTCTCAAATTATTGCTTAAAGGTTGTAAACAATAGAAAACACTCTTTATATTTTTAATTAAGGAGATAAAATTATTTATGCTAACAAAATTCATCAAGATTTTTAGTTAATTTTTAAGCTTATTTTTTATTTTGAGAGAGATAGCAATCAGGGTGGAACAGAGAGACAGGGAGACAGAATCCCAAGCAGGCTCCCCACTGTCAGTGCAGAGCACAACATGAGGCTCGAACTCACAAACATTGGAGATCACTCCCTAAGCCAAAATCAAGAGTTGGATGCTTACCTGAGCGAGCCACCCAAGTGCTCCTCAGTTAATGTTTAGATCATTTTCACATGAACTAGTACATAGTTGGGTGTATTACCATCCTTGGCTACTTTGATTGTAGGAATATATAGTAATCACAAAGAGTGGTTGTAAGAGTAGAGTTCAGTGTAAATAAAACCATGATTTAACTGAATGGCCATTTAAAACCTGTGGAAGATTTGCATCATCATTTAATGCACAAATAAATTCATCACAGTAAATACTGTTTACTTGTGTCAATGAAATTAAAATTATTTTGAAGCATTTAATATTAACTCATTGTTAGTTTTAGCTCCATAGTGGAATACATCATCTCCTCACATTGACTAATTTTATGCAAGAAGCTTGTCAACAATGAAATATAAAGCTGAAGTTCTTTCAGCAACTTACTAGAGTTCATTAAGGTGATAGCACTATGTGTCAGAAAAGAAGAAAGTTAAGAAAGGAAATCCTAGTAGTGCAAAATCAAAGACATCTTCAACTCACCGCTTCCCTTACTGCTCTCCCTACTCACCACCCCCGACTAAAAAAAAAAAAAATGAAGCATAAAGAAAAATGTCTAATGCTGGCAGCTTATGTATTATAGACTGTTCTCAGGTCCACCACAGAAATAATTTATACATCCATTTATCATATTCACTCCTAACATCATATGCATATACGTCAAGAATTTTACTTACGAGGGCTGAGTGATAGGAATTTAAGCATGACTTTTACAGCATATATATCACTTAAAATTGATTATCTAGAAGTTTCCAAAGTTTACATATGATTGCTATACTGTAAACAGCACTGATGAGAAATCTGGAGAACAGGATTCCACTTTAGATCCTGTCATCAGCGAGCTGGGTCAATCTAACACCCAAAGTCTCTGCTTCTGAGTTGACTCACGCGTAAAATTAAGGTGTCGTCTGGAAGACCTATAGGATGCCCTTGCTGCTCCGTAATTCTACAACTCTAATCTTTCATATACTAATGAAGTCATCTACTGGCTAATCTTATGAAATGAAAAATACATCTTAAAAATACAAATCTCCTTCAGGAATATAGAGTGAAATGAGATGGAACCACTCATAGGTAACAAAACAAGTCATGAATCCTGCTGCTGACTACCTATCTCAATTTTTACACATAATATAATGTAATATAGCATAATACAATATAATATAAACATAATGTGCTCTAACATAATAGACACCGACACATATTTATTAGTATATATGCCTGTATCTCAGCCAGATAACTCTAGCCTAAAGAAAATACAGAATGTTTTAGGTCCTACACCTTTCCTTAACTAGATATCTAAAAAGATTCCAAACTTACTTTTATCTTTTATAATCTTTGTGTCCCAGAATAAAAAGGTTTTTACATATAGTAGTTGACAACCAAGAACTGCATAAAAATATTATTCTGTTTTCCCTTAGGGGTTTGCAAATACAAAAATATGATTACCTTTCCCTTTTTTTTTTAAGTTTATTTATTTTGATAGGATGGGGAGGAGCAGACAGAGAGGATCCCAAGCACACTGACAGTGTGGAGCCAGACACAGGGCTCAAACTTAAAAACCGTGAGATCATAACCTGAGCCGAAATCATCAGATCCCTAACCGACTGAGCCACCCAGACACCCCAATATCATTACCTTTCCTATGCTGATATCTGGCTGCAGAAAGCGAAGGCACTCTGAATAATTAGCCCATGTTTTATTTAAACTGTACATAAAATCCCACGTCCCATTGGGGTTACAGTGTCGGAAAGCAACTCCTGTAAAGACACGAAGAAAAACATTGAGATTGCTCAGTTCCCTTGGCATCCATTAGGGGGAAAAGTACATTTCTATTCCAAATTAATCATTGCGGAAAAATTCAATACCTTTATGATTGAAGTCATAAATATAAGGAGGGCATGGGACAGCCAATATTTTCCCCACTGTTCCTCTGGGCCAACAAATGAGTCCATCCCATTCTGGGAAACAATTTCCCTCTAATAAAGGAAAAAATTAAAAAGCAAATAAACAAAAATGCAATTGGAACCAGACACTAAATGCACTCAAAATACCTGCAGCAAAATGTAAAACAAATTAGTAGTTGTGAAACTAGGTGCAAATGTCCTAAGATTCATCCACACAGCCTCCTTAAAGGTCCACTAATAAGAACATTTGGTTTGCATAAATTAAAAATATTTTAGTGATTCCAGTATATATGAGTTATAGCAATTACTATATATAAGAAACATTGGAATTCATTGTGAACAGCTTCTACAGTTGTAGCTACATTTTTTTACCCTAGATTTTAAAAAATTGATGTTAAAAAATATGATATATGAAACAGATTGAGCTTCACAGATAAGCTCCAAGATTTGGATTTGCCTTTTTACCAGTGATCCTTTTTTTTTTTTTTTACCAATAATTCTAGACATTTGTTTAAGTCTAACAGTCATCTTAAACAAAATTCTCACAAAATCTACTTTCTTCAAGAATCAAGTATAAAGATACAGAGTGGGGTGGCGGGGGGGGGCGGGCGCAGGGAGGGGACTGAATGGACAAAATGCATCCAGAACCCAATCACTTCTCACAATCTCCACTGTCACACCCATGGTCTAAACTTGTCAAGCCATGATATTTACACAGAACAACCTAAAACTTGGAAACTCCTGGGGCACCTGCATGACTCAGTCAGTCAAGCGTCCAACTCTAGATTTTGGTTCACGTCATGATCTTACAGTTGGTGAGATCAAGTCCTATGTCAGTTTGTGCTAACAGTGTGGAGCCTACTTGGGATTCTCTCTCTCCCTCTTTCTCTGCCTCTCTTTCTCTCTCTCTCAAAATAAATAAATAAACTTAAAAAAAATGAAATGAAATTTGGAGACTCCAACTTTCTCTTTTCAGTTCTATAGTTACTCACAACACAATATAACCACACATTAGTGAAGTCAAACTGGGATCAATATTTGGGGTTTTGCTTTTAACTATTTGAATCATTTTATAACTAGGTTTTTGCATTTCCATTTTCTTTTCTTTCATACACATGAGGAAAATGCTTGTTCTCTTTCTATTACAATTTTTTTCATAAGTAAAGCACACAATAGTGTATATATGTGAGTGTGTGTGTGTGTGTGTGTGTATACATACATACATATATACATCACCTAGAATTGACACTTGCTAATAGTTTACCGTATTTATTTCATCTAATTTATTTTTTGCTATGGTATTTTAATGTAAATTGCAGACAGCATAACAGCTGACTCCTAAATATTTTAATATGCATCTCAAACTTTAAGAGAATTTAAAAATTTAAATTTCTTACATTAGCTAGTGAATTCAAAATGCCATTCTAGTTTTTTACACATAAATTGAAGAAATTTTTCATTGAAACATAAATCTGGCTTCCAGATTCGTTCTTCCTCTCCTTTCAGTTATTCACAAAACAGGCCAAAATCTTCCAAGAGGCTTCCCATCTCACTCCCAGCAGAAGCCAAGTCTTACAAAGACATTAAAGACTTATAAAGACATTATAAATGTTTGAAAGCCCCTCAAGATCCCACTATTTATCTTAGCTAAAGTCCTCCTGCTCTCCTCTCAGTTCAATTCCCCCATGGCCTCAACACTTAGCACCCTCCATCCTACAGACTTTTACTCACATTGCTACTTCTGAGTAAACTTTCCCCATTTAAAATTACATTCAAAACACTCCTTATCCCCTTTCCTGCTATATTTTTGCCTGAGCTGTCATTGCTTTCCAATATGAAGTGTTATTTTATTTATTTTTTTTTAATTTTTTTTTTCAACATTTATTTATTTTTGGGACAGAGAGAGACAGAGCATGAACGGGGGAGGGGCAGAGAGAGAGGGAGACACAGGATCGGAAACAGGCTCCAGGCTCTGAGCCATCAGCCCAGAGCCCGACGCGGGGCTCGAACTCACGGACCGCGAGATCCTGACCTGGCTGAAGTCGGACGCTTAACCGACTGCGTCACCCAGGCGCCCTGAAGTGTTATTTTAGTATTGGTTTCTGAAACCACAGGGACCCTGAAGGTGGGGGATTCTGTTTTATTCCACGCATTAGCCACCCAGCACTTGACATGGACTTGATAAAGTCAGTCAGTGCCAACACTGTGTTCTTCAGGCCTCCTCTCCATTACCTGTGTGGAAACTTCCACACTATTTCTTGAAGTCAGAAGCCCAGTGAGTTCAACTAGGACTGAGCTCCCCCTTTCCTTGCTGGCTATCAGCTTCTAGCAGCGACTTGCATTCCTTGGTCATGACCCCTTCCTCCATCTTCAAAGTCAGGAGGCAGGTCAAACTCTTCTCACATTTCAAGTGTCTCCTCTACTCTCCTTTTCCCTTACTTATTTGCCCACCTTCTCCTGCCACTTTGAAGAAACCATGAGATTACACTGAGCCCACCCAGATAATCTAGGATAATCTCCCTATTTTTAAGGCCATAATCCCACCATAATCCCACCTGCAATGCCCCTGTGCCATGTAACATAGCACACACAGGCATAACACCAGATATTAGGGTATGGACATCTTTGGGTACCCTTATTCTGCTACTACAGGTACTATCCATTATAACTCCCTCAATTTTTCAGTTACCAGTTGCACTAACTGTAGCTGAGGAATCTTGTTCTAGCTAATGTTCATGATGTCAACTTGTTTGTTCAGTTTTGAATAGTCATGCAAACACTGATCTGTACAGAAAAGAATCCAGCATAAACCTGAAATTATCTTCTTAGTGTCCTCCATATCACATGGAAACAAATGACTTGATTTGCTTTGGGGACCGCTGAAGCAAGAAGAAAAAGAAAATGTCTTCCCTCGCCCACACTGTTCCTATAAAAGAGAACGTTTTCTTGGAAACAGCCTCACTTTGTTCACATAATAAAAGCCTGGCCTTTACATGTCACAAGCAACCCAGGAACCCATCACACTGGCTCCTGCTTCTGGTGCACAGCTTCACCGGCTTCTTTCTACCATTACCTGCATTTTGTTTTCCTTTCTTGTGTAAGCAGAGTGCAATGAATCAGTCTGTTTTATCAACTTTACCCTAAGCACTCTTCTGTATTTTGGTAACATTCCACATGGCTTCCCATCCATTCACTTTGTCTTTAACGAGTCATGCATCCTTATTTATCTGGACTGTCCGATCCTTTACTGGATATCTATTGTGCAATCTACATAAATTGGACGTGGACAAACATTTCTTGTGCGTTCCTGTGTTCTGGTAACAAGTTGCCCCTATAAAATGTATGCTGCAATGTCATTTGATATTTTCTGACAAGAGTTAGTCACATGATGGAATAAGGTCTTACTATAAGTTTAAAATCCAATGACTAGTTTATTCTATAATTATGTAGTTTTTAAACTGCTATGGAGCCAAATCTGCTGACATTTTCTTCATGCTCTAAAGGGGACACTTTTCTAGTTCCCTGCAAGATACTACCTGACACACATACACACATACCCCCCAAAATTCAGAAAACCAACATCCCCCAAAAATAATGTTTCTGTAGATTGTGTTCATCTCTCTGGTGGCCCTTTGACAAAGATAATAATAAATATTCACAAAGGTTGAAAGGATTGGGGAAGCCATGACCTCACAAAGATAATACAGAGAGATCTTAATTAACATCTCCTCTTTGATCATCATTTCACATTTCATGTGAGTAAATACTTTCATTAGTTAGCAAGAAACTAATTAATTGCCTGATGACTCACTTTACAAATTACACCATTAATTACATTCCTCGTAATCTTTTCCGTATGCCAGGACAAACTACTTATTAGTGAAGCTCCTCAAACCGTGATATTTACACAGAACAATCTAAAATTTGGAGACTCCAACTTTGTCTCTTTTCAGTTCTACAGTTACCCATAACACAATATAACCCCACATTTGTGAAATCGAACCAGGACCATTAATATTTTGAGTTTTGTTTTTAACTACTTGAATCGTTTTATAACTAGGTATTTGCATTTACTTTTCCTTTTCTTCCATAGACATGGGAAAATGTTTCCTTTTATTACAAAATTTTTTTCATAAATAAAACAGGGAATATTGCATATATATACATTACCTAGAACTGACCTGTTAATATTTTACCATATTTATTTCATCGAATTTATTTTTTGCTGTGGGCTTTTTATTTTTTTATTTTTTTTATTTATATATGAAATTTATTGTCAAATTGGTTTCCATACAACACCCAGTGCTCATCCCAAAAGGTGCCCTCCTCAATACCCATCACCCACCCTCTCCTCCCTCCCGCCCCCCATCAACCCTCAGTTTGCTCTCAGTTCTCAACAGTCTCTTATGCTTTGGCTCTCTCCCACTCTAACCTCTTTTTTTTTTTTTTTCCTTCCCCTCCCCCATGGGTTCCTGTTAAGTTTCTCAGGATCCACATAAGAGTGAAACCATATGGTATCTGTCTTTCTCTGTATGGCTTATTTCACTTAGCATCACACTCTCCAGTTCCATCCACGTTGCTACAAAAGGCCATATTTCATTTTTTCTCATTGCCACGTAGTATGCCATAGTGTATATAAACCACAACTTCTTTATTCATCAGTTGATGGACATTTAGGCTCTTTCCATCATTTGGCTATTGTTGAGAGTGCTGCTATGAACATTGGGGTACAAGTGCCCCTATGCATCAGTACTCCTGTGTCCCTTGGATAAATTCCTAGCAGTGCTATTGCTGGGTCATAGGGTAGGTCTATTTTTAATTTTCTGAGGAACCTCCACACTGCTTTCCAGAGCGGCTGCACCAATTTGCATTCCCACCAACAGTGCAAGAGGGTTCCCGTTTCTCCACATCCTCGCCAGCATCTATAGTCTCCTGATTTGTTCATTTTGGCCACTCTGACTGGCGGGAGGTGATATCTGAGTGTGGTTTTGATTTGTATTTCCCTGATAAGGAGCGACGTTGAACATCTTTTCATGTGCCTGTTGGCCATCCGGATGTCTTCTTTAGAGAAGTGTCTATTCATGTTTTCTGCCCATTTCTTCACTGGGTTATTTGCTTTTCGGGTGTGGAGTTTGGTGAGCTCTTTATAGATTTTGGAGACTAGCCCTTTGTCCGATATGTCATTTGCAAATATCTTTTCCCATTCCGTTGGTTGCCTTTTAGTTTTGTTGGTTGTTTCCTTTGCTGTGCAGAAGCTTTTTATCTTCATAAGGTCCCAGTAATTCACTTTTGCTTTTAATTCCCTTGCCTTTGGGGATGTGTCGAGTAAGAGATTGCTACGGCTGAGGTCAGAGAGGTCTTTCCCTGCTTTCTCCTCTAAGGTTTTGATGGATTCCTGTCTCACATTCAGGTCCTTGATCCATTTTGAGTTTATTTTTGTGAATGGTGTGAGGAAGTGGTCTAGTTTCAACCTTCTGCATGTTGCTGTCCAGTTCTCCCAGCACCATTTGTTAAAGAGACTGTCTTTTTTCCATTGGATGTTCTTTCCTGCTTTGTCAAAGATGAGTTGGCCATACGTTTGTGGGTCTAGTTCTGGGGTTTCTATTCTATTCCATTGGTCTATGTGTCTGTTTTTGTGCCAGCTGTGGGCTTTTTAAAGTGAATTGCAGACAGCATAACACCTCACTCCTAAATATTTTGATATGCATCTCTCAACTTTAAGAGAATTTAAAAATGGAAATTTCTTAAATTAGCCAGTGAATTCAAAATGTCATTCTAGTTTTTTACACACAAATTGAAGAAATTTTGAGTCAATTTACATATAATTACACATAATTTTTCACTGAAAAGTAAATCAAAGTTTGACCAGATTTAATTCTATCCTATTTGTATGGGAAAAGGTCTCAAAGAAAGGATCTTTTCTCTTCTGATATTTATTCATCTACATGTTTCACATGATTCACACCTTCAGAAATTTTAGATGTTACATAAGTTTATATCCAGATCATTTATTCTTTTTATGTGTCACTCATGTGATATGTCACCAATTCATACTTGCTTGCCTTTGCCCATCCTATTCCCTCTGCCAGGAATGTCCTTTTACTCTCCTCTACACATCTAATTCCTGCTCCTTTACTCTTAAAATGAGATGATTATTCCTCCAGGAAGCCTCCTCCATTCATCCCCAATCAATTAAGATACTTTTTCACTGGTTCTGTAGTTAGGATGCTTCTGTTGTTAAACTCACACACTATACTGAAAGATGTCTACCTCCCTTCCTAGGTCATCATCTCATGGGGCAAGGACATCATCATGGGGAAGGACAGAAACAATTCATTGTTTCCAGTGCTTACTACAGAAGCAATACACGGTAAGCACATAATATATTTCTTGAACTCTTAAAGGGACACTGAAGATAACAATGTTGGACTAGCTAGTCTCCATCTTCCAGCTACAAATTTCATGAGACTCCATAGAAAATAGCTCATTTAGCCTTGATAGATAATAATCTTTATAAATCCCTTTATGGTGATGTCACTTCTTGTTAGTAGCCCCGCATGTTTGAGATATCAGAATCAGTGTTCTTCACAGGTGGCATGAATAAATCTCTTTTCTGACACTTTTAGTGTCAGAGAGCTCCTTTCTAGTATAAGGCAACTACAAAGACTGGATTAATACAAAAACTTGCTTTCTTAAAACACAGTTTTGCTAGCTATAAATGAATGGAATAAGGGGCACCTAGGTGGCTCAGTTGGTTAAGCATCCAATTTCAGCTCAGGTCATGATCTCACGGTTTGTGGGTTCAAGCCCTGCGTCCGGGTCTGTGCTGTCAGCTCAGAGCCTGCTTTGGATTCTGTGTCTCCCTCTCTCTCTGCCCCTCCCCCACTTGCAGTCTGCCTCTCTCTGTCTCTCAAAAATAAATAAATGTCAAAAAAATTTATAAATGAATGGAATAACACTGAGGCTAGAAATTATTCCATAGGCTCAGCAGGCATTGCATTTGGGGCTTTACCCTGGAGGCCTCTACTGATTTGCTGGCTTACAGCTTGGATTATGATTGTGTTCAGGTAACAAAAGATGAGCCTGAAGCCTGATGTAGTCAAAAAATTGAACAGAAAACCCCTGTATAACAGGATCCCCCCCCAAAAAAATGACCCCTTTAGTGAAGGAACAAGAAACAAAGCTTTCCTTCAGAAAGAGATTGGCTTGTTTCACTCCTGGCTCCATTTAGAATTCGAATAGAAAACTATTATAATAATTTAAAAAAATGAATAGAAAACTATAGAAAAAAATCTTTGAAAATTTCTAACCACAAGCTCACACTCATGTGTAGCCTAAATATATTTTAAAATAGACATAGGTAGGTCAATAGGCACCTCACAGAAGCAGACAGAAATTGTCTCTGGAAAAATGTGCTTTAAATGAGGACCTCATGAGTTCTTTATCATAAATCATTGGACACACAGGAAATAAAGCCACCATGTATGATAATACGCATTGACAAGCAAAGTCTATGGATATTAGAATTATCAAATGCAGAATATAAAATATGTTTAAGAAAAAAAGAATAAGTTGAAAAGATATTGAAGATAAAAAGACTATCAAAATTAAATATGAAGATTCTAGAATGTGAAAAATGGATAATCAAAATTAACTTAGTAGATGGATTAAACAGCCATTAGACAAAGTTGAACAAAGAGTCAGCACACTGGAAAACATATCTGAAGAAATTCCCAAAATAGCAGTAGAGAAACAAAGAAAAGGTAAATACATAAGACATGAAGACACAAAGAGTAGCATAAGAAGGTCCTACATTTGTCTAAATAAAGTTCCAGATGGACACAATAGGAGAACGGGGGAAAACAAAGTTTCAAAGACAAAAATAGCAAAATATTCCCACCACTGAATAAAGACACAGACCCTCAGACGCTAGAAATCAAATTAATCCACAGGTAGATACAGAATAAAAGTGTAGAACATCAAAGTCAAATAGAAGCTCTTAAAAGGAGTCGGAGAGGAAAAACTAACCATCATCAAAGACCAAAAACTGATTTGTCACCAATAACAGTGGAAGCTAGGGGGAAAATGAAATAGTATTCAGGTGCTAAAAGTAAATAATTCCCAACCAAGGGTCACATGTCCAGAAAAAGTGTATCTTTGAAGATTGAGACTGAAATAAACACCTTTTCAGCCAAACAAAAACTGAGAGCATTTGCTGCAAGTAAGTTCTAACAGAAAGAAATTTTGCAAGACATATTTCAGCTTGAACAAAAATTATAATATACAATTAATATAAAATCATATGACTTTATTAACATAAGATAATATGACAATACGGGGCGCCTGGGTGGCTCAGTCAGTTAAGCAGCCGACTTCAGCTCAGGTCATGATCTCACAGTCTGTGAGTCTGAGTCCCGCATCAGGATTTGTGCCGACAGCTCAGAGCCTGGAGCCTGCTTCAGATTCTGTGTCTCCCTCTTTCTCTGCCCCTCCCCCATTCACACTCTGTCTCTCTCTCAAAAATAAAATAAAAACATAAAAAAAAGTTTTAAAAATTATATGACAATAGCATACAATTTGGAAGCAATTAAAGTATTTCAAATTGCTTATATTATTCAAGCAGGAGAAGTTATTGATAAACTTTAAACTTTCTTAAATATTTGGAGACTAGAATGAAGTAGATCAAACCAGATATTTCACTATAGGGCATAGCTTTAAAGATATTACCTGCTGCATTCAGAATGTTGGGAATTTAGGGAAGCTCAGTAAACTGCAGCTCCCTTTATTAAAAAAAAAAAAAAAAGACTCTTTAAATATATTCAACTATTAAGGCAAGGCATTTTCCCATATAAAACATTATCGTTTTCCCACTCCTCCAAATATTCCAATAAACATCTTTTCTCAATGGCCCCAGTGTAAACTATGAGTGACCACCACGCTGTGAGGACCACCACGAGCCATAGTTCCTGTACAGCTCCAACAGTAGAGCAATCCAAGAGCATCAAAGCCACCGCAAGCTCACCTATAGTGTTGTAGTTCTGTTTTTTCAGTTTCCCACTTGAACTTGGAATTAATTGAGAAATTGCATAAAGAGTCAGGCAGATGGAAATTAAATAATCACCTTATTAAGGAGAAAATGTTTTTTGTGAGAACAGGGCCTAGGTACATATAAAAGGGCCTGCTTGTTTGTTCTTCTGATCTTTATACATACTACCTAAAACTGCAAGCAATACCCACCAGAACAGAGCCTGCCCCTCCAAGCTTACGTTAAGGGCAGACCAGCGAGCACACTCTCTGCAGGCAAACAGATCCCAAAGAGAAGCCTGAGAAAGAAACCGATGTGCACATGCTCAGAGGCTATTCTGAAATTCAGAAACCAGGCAAGTCACTCCGTCCATTGGAAGGGAAGAGCTTGGAGTGAAGGAGATGAGAAGAACACGATTCTGCTACCACGCCCTTCCACATAGAAACATGCAATGAGTGATGAGGAACTCCCTACTACCAACTCCAAAGGGGAATTTGAAGTCTTTGGGAGGACTGAGGTAGGGACACAAGGAGACACGATGTTTTCAGCACCTTTACCTCCTCCCTGGGGCTGAGCTGTGATGTTGAGCTCACATTGGACTTTAGCTTTCAGGACAAGGACAATCTGCTCCTCCATGGTAATGGTGCCACCAGAATCCAGCTGTAGAAATGAACAAAATACAAACAGAACAATATTTCCATCACATTTTTTAAGCCATGATATAACCTTTCATTATATACTGATACGGTTGAAAATTAAAGTTTTGATAGCCAGCTATCTGAAATAGTCTTTTATCTGAGTCAAACTTTCTATAAGATATCTTTCATCAGATACATTGATACCGATTCCCACCCTGAAACATGCTTCTAACCTACAGCAAGTGAATAAGAAATTCTTCTTGGATGAGTTCATCTAGATTTGGCTTTAGCACCACCAGTAATGGAGAGGAAATTCTACTATTGGAAAACCTTATTTCAATGAAATATATTTTAAATATGACCAAATATTCTTAATTGTTTGTTCAGATTCTATTGCTTGGACAACCTGAATCTGATGCATATATAAAATGTAGATCTTTATGCTGCACATCAGACTCAGTGAGTCAGAATTTATTTCTGGAGGTGGTGGACTGGTAATCCTTGTGTTTCCCAGGGACACTTTGTGGTTCTTGCACTAACTTTAATGGGTTTGACAACCAACATACTTGAAGGTACAAGATAATGGTGAAGATCATTCTATTAGTCAAGTTTCAATCAGAGAAGCAGAACTATAAGAGATTAGGATTTATAGAGAAATAGAAGTAAAGATAGAATAGAATAAGTAAGTACTTGTTACAAGGATTTGACTAAACAGTTGTGGGAGGTGACTAAATAGTTTCTAGAAGGCCTTTTTTTTTTTTTTTTTTTTGGTCTGATGTTGGAGCTAGAAATCTGCAGGTCAGGCAGTTAAAAAGAGATGAATATAAAGAGAGGGAGAGAGTAGGAAGAACTTGGAACCATGAGGACACAGTAGAATGCACGTGAGTTCTCGGGGCCTCCAGCCTTCATGTTGTAGGTGTCCCACAGAAACTGGCATTCTTTATCATGGACCTAAACACACTTAGCCCAGGAATCAGAGAAGTTAAAGAAGAAGCCAGGAAAATATGAATCTGCTGCAGGCCTGGCTGCTATCCCCCACAATGAGATGAGCCAATAGACAGCCAACAATGCGTGTGAGATACAAAAGCACCTGCCTTGACCATCTGAGTGTAAAAAACAAAATGGCTGCTGCCTCATTTCTGCCTTCCAACACTCATGAAAGCATGTCTTGTGTGTCACCCTAACCAGAAACATAAAGGGAATGGGGATTCTGGGAAATGCAGTTTAAACAGCTAAGCTGACACATTACAAAGCCACCAAAATCTACCTCTGTCAACTTGGCACCCACACATATCTCTTTAAACCACAATTAATTTCCAGAAAACTCAATACAAAGTCACGCTCCATCTAACATGATACAATTCGTTTGGTACTGAGAGTGATTCCAAAAGAACAGAATTTAAGGAGCAAAAAAATCTGTATTTGTCATCTCTAGCTGTATAACAAATTGACCCAAAACTCTGTGACTTCCAACAAGCATTAATTATCTCACAGCTTGGGATAAGCTTAGCTAGGTGGTTTTGGACTCAGTCTCTTATGAGGTTTCAGCCAAGACTTCAGCCACAGATGTGGTTACCTAGACTTGATTGGGACTAGAGGATCCACTGCCAAGGTGGTCCACTCACACAGGTATTGGCCGAGGGCTTAAGTTTCTCAACGGCTGAGAGGAAACATTAGTTCCTCACCCTATGGTTCTCTATGGGTGCTTAAGTGTCTTTACAACATGACAATTGGCTCCCACCAGATGAGTGAGTCCAGAGAGAAAGCAAGGAGAAAGCCACCATGCCTTTTATGATCTACTCTCAGATGTCACTCATGGTCATTCCCATCATATTCCATTAGCTAAAAAGCAAGCCACCAAGTCTCACTCAGGGGGAGAGGAATTAATCTGTACCTTTTAAAGGGAGGTGTCAAAAAATTTATAAATGTATCTGTAGTCAACTGCAATTTTCTGCAGGGGCTCATCTATTTTCCAGAATGAGAATACTGAGTATTGTGGTTTTTGTAGATTTATTAACAATAGTAGGGTCCAGAACTTTGCATTTCTGTTTTCTCCTAGGGGCTTAGAGATTTTATTTATTTATTTATTTATTTATTTATTTATTTATTTATTTCAAGTTAATTAACATGCAGTGTAGTATTGGCTTCCAGAGTAGAACCCAGAAGTGATTCTTCATTTACATATGACACCCAGGGCTCATCCCAACAAGTGTCCTCCTTAATGCCCATCACCTATTTAGCCCATCTCCCCCGCCCCAACCTTCTGCCTCAAGCAACCCTCAGATTGTTCTCTGTCTTTAAGAGTCTGTTATTGGGGCGCCTGGGTGGCGCAGTTGGTTAAGCGTCCGACTTCAGCCAGGTCACGATCTCGTGGTCCGTGAGTTCGAGCCCCGCGTCGGGCTCTGGGCTGATGGCTCAGAGCCTGGAGCCTGTTTCCGATCCTGTGTCTCCCTCTCTCTCTGCCCCTCCCCCGTTCATGCTCTGTCTCTCTCTGTCCCAAAAAAAATAAGTAAACGTTGAAAAAAAAAAAAAGAGTCTGTTATGGTTTGCCTCCCTCTCTGTTTTTACCTTATTTTTCCTTCTCTTCCCCTGTGTTCATCTGTTTTATTTCTTAAATTCCACATATGAGTGAAATCATATGCTATTTGTCTTTGTCTGACCGACTTACTTCGCTTAGCATAATACAGTCTAGTTCCATTCACATTGTTGCCAATGGCAAGATTTCATTCTTTTGGATCTCCAAGTAGTACTCCATTGTGTGTGTGTGTGTGTGTGTGTGTGTGTGTGTGTGTGTGTGTGTATGTGTGTGTGTGTATATATATATATATATATACACCACATTTCCTTTATCCATTCATCTTAAATCAAATGAGATGAAAAACCTATCAATTTACCTAGATGACAAACTCCCAATAACACAATCCTTTGTAAACCTCGAATCTTTAATTTTTGGTTGTAAATACTTACTCTCTAGAATCATTCCTTTAAGGAAATAAGGAAAACAAACCTTTTTATGTTTTGCAATAAGACATTAGGGACTGAACATTAGAAATGGATGTTTGTATTAGGCATAAAAACACCTAGAGATTACTAATAATTATGATTTTAAATAACATATAAAATGATACACTGGCAGGTTAACTTGAAATGGGAAAGACAGAAAATATCTATCATAAGAACTCATATCAGCATCAAAAATAAGTCTTATTTCTGAAAACTATGAGTTTATTATTTCCTAACATATTTACAATACAGAGTTGCTCAGTGAATAGTCTGGAATATAGTTTTAGAGATTTCTGGATAATATTCATAGTTCAAATTCTCACATTTATTTTAATAATACTTATGAAATGAGAGAACAAACAAAAACTGATTTTTTTTTTGGATTGGAATACATACCATAATTTAGTTATCAAGCAAACACAATACAGATTCTCAGTTAAAAGTAGCTACACTAAAAGTGAGCCATAAAAATTTCACGTACCAAAAGGGAGAATGAAATGGAAGCCAATGAGTCATCTAAGTGAGCATGGTAGGAAAATTAACTTCTTCCCATTCATTCCCCAGAAACAGCCAGGCACCATTCACATTTTGTTTTGCTTTACTTTTTGGCTGGGTTGTTTGTTTTTTTTTTCCAATTCAATAGTTATTTTCTTGTACCTCAATCCTAGAAAACACTGGGTAAGCTGTGCCCAACATTCAAAACTAAAAATTTGATTCAGAGAAATTTGACTTCAGTTATCAAACATGAACATTGCAAATCACCCCTTGTAAATTTTTATTTGAACAAATACGGCTTTTGTTTTCTTTTGTGCAGACTTAGCCTTTTTATTGGGATCATCTTTTCAGGAACATAAGCATCATATAAACTTTAGCTTCTACAGATATTTTACTCTACACATGTGGCCAATTTAACCAGGAGCAAGTTTGAGTAGAATGTGCTAATTCATGAACTTTTAAATTGCTCTTTAGTCATTCCAACTGAGGATAAGGAAATGTTTAACATCTTTTATGTGACTTTCTCTCCCTCCTTAGTTACAGTTACAAGTGTTCTTCACCATAGAGAGACAGTAAAATCATAGTGTGCTTAAAACAGAAGAGGAGTTTTGATGTTCAATGCCTATTACTCCAAAAGCAACGATTGCATCCAAAACAAAATGGCACATTTAGTAAAAACAAGATGTTAGTAATTTTTCCTGGGCAAGTGATCATTTACAATGTGAAATAAAACGATGTATTTTACTGAAAGTACTTAACATTCTTGTTACAGATACTGACTGGTTAAAGGCAGAATATGCAAATCTTCATAATTTCAATATTCACATTTATTCCATTTTTAGGTAAACATGCACCCATAAATTAGATGTTTTTGAAAAGAAGCATTCTGGAACTTCTACTTCTGGCATGATGGGGTAGATATACTTTTCTCTATTTCTTTCAGTAAGTACAACTAAAAACCCTAGACATTATCCATAAAATGAACATAAGATAAAATTCTGAAATGTGAAGAGCAGAAGGCAGACCAGCTAGGGACCTCAGATCCCAAAGAACAACACAGTGGTGACTTCTCTGGGTTTTCTTTTTGCCTCGTGTATTTGGGACTTGGAGGTGAGAAGCTGGTAACTCAGAAACACCAAGAGACACTGACCAAGAAAAAAAAAAAAAAAAAAAAGGCCTCCAGAAAACCTTGCTCTCTATAGCCAAGAAGGAAAGGAGGAGCCTGACGAGACAGAAAACTCTCACACAATAATAGCCCAATCTAAGCCAAACACCACAGGAGAAAAGCTGCAGTTTTATCCTGACACCTCAAAGGCCAAGTGGAGCGCCTAGTCTTCTACCCTTGGCGGGCTGTAAGGAAGTGACCCTACACTCTCTCCAGAGATAGTTTCAGAGCAAAGTAGAGAGCCAGGACATTCACCCACACTGCTCTGGGACAAGTGCCTTCGCCTTTCCAGTGTTACTGGGGAGCCTGGACTTCCACCCCCTGCTGGCAGTAACAAGGTATCCCTCCATCCGCCCTCT